TTTCCTTCCCAGCTTGCCAGACCAGCAAACACCATGCGTCAGACCAGAACAAGCGGTACCCTACAGCCTCATTTCCAGACAAGAGCCCGGCGGCCGCAATTGCAACCTCCAACACTACCTGTCCCATATTCATTGGCTACAATATTAAGGGTGCTGGGCGAATAGGCGGTTTTGCGCCAGTGTGCTGTACGTATGCGCTCCAAACCCCCGGTGCTGTGGCTTTGCATCTTCCTTCAGGAACGTTGCAGGGACGTCATGGGCGAGTTACTTTCGGTCTCAGCGAGCTGACATCCGGCCTCAGAAACCCAATCTCGGCAGCACCACACCTGCACAGCCTTTTGTACAGCTGTCCACCCGTTATTACGATCTCTTTTCCTTCAACTGTACATTTTTTGTAACAACAGCGCAATTCCTATCGATTTTTTACCCTAATCACACTGGCTTTCACCGCAGAAGTTTGCGCCTCTTTCCTTTCTTCCATTTGTACCAACAGTCGATTCCCACGCAAAGAAACGGTCGCTCAATAGAAAAAGAGAGAAGCGAAAGTCACTCGTTTGTACACACGCTCGCTCTTCCAGTCGCACTCCAACCTACGCCTGAATGGTCACAGAGGACGTCAAAAATCACTGTCTTGGGAAACGGCCGGCTGTCTCAATTGATATTTCTCCGACCTATTAAGGAAATTCTCCGAAAAGTTCATACTCGCAAATAGGTGAATCAAGGCTCTGACAGCCTTGTTCATCATCTCACACGAAACCCCTAAGTTGCTGAGGCGGGCTATTTTTTTTTTTACAAGCGCCTTCGCTTTGGCACCGGGCGGCTACAGGTAAATTGCACTTTTCGCTTGTTTCACAAACCCAAGTTCTTCGTCGAAACACTGCCTTCTTCACCGTTTTTGTGTCCCTTGAGTTCACGGCCACCTCAATTCTGCATCCACGGACAACCACCCAGAGCCTACTTGTTGGGACGGGGCAGAAATCTCTCCGCCATTCCCGCTCATTGAGCTGCCGCAAATACAAGCGTCCAGATTTCCTTGCTCCAGTTGACGGATCTTGGCGGTTGTTTTTAAACTTAACCTGCCAGCTGGCACCACGACTCCTGGGTCAAAGAAAGAATGGATACAGATGGGATTAAGAGCGACGACAAGTCAGAATCGCTACAACCCACACGAACGCGCAAACGATGGAAAGAGGGCATTGTGGAACTGACATACCTGTCTCGACAGTGGCAGCCGTCCAGTAAGGACCAACCAGACCCTCCATTGTATTCGACTTGGATGGCCTCCTCGGAAGTGGATCAAAAGTTTCTGGGTTATTTCGCAAAAGTTACTACTACGGAGAATAATTATCTTTCTAGGTGAGCCCCCTGTCCGTTCCGGGATGAGAGAGGATACTTCCAAGTACGTTTCCGGGCCAATCAAACTAACATGGGTATGATGGATAGTTTCCTATTCCGTGTCCTCGGCCTTTCGGTGATTCTGGCTGAGAAGCTCCTGCGTGCGCGCCACGCAAAACGCCTCGACCCTGTCCGGGACCCAAAAGCCCGCCACTTAATTCACCACATCCTATGGCTCGCCCGTGAAGGGCTCGTTATGGTGGAGCAATATATACTTCCGATGGTGGGCCACTATGTCGAATTAAAGGTGTTGAGTTACAAACTCAAGGCCAGCTTCTACCATATTTTTGTACTGTTTCATAATGAGCCACCGGTGAATGATCGCATTAATCGGAGTAAGAGCACCAGTGGCGGGGATGCGAGTTACACTTTGTTTCCGGAGCCTTTGAGTCCGAGAGAATCGAGAGATGGCAGAGAAAGGCTAGGCAGACAGGCTACGGTCAGATCTCCCACAGAGAGTGGACGGAGGAGGTCGCCAGCAATCAGCCTTGGAGGTCCTGTGGGCGGCAGCGGGGGAGTGGCAGCGACAACGCGAACTCCACCTGGGCTTCCCCTTCCGGCGACGTATCCTTATTACACCAACGGCAACAACAACAACAACAACAACAACCACCACAACAACAACGGCAATGGCAATGGTAACGGCACGGCAACGTTCCTCCTCCCTTTACAAGACTACACCCCATACGCAACCCAAGCGTTCCGCGAAGCCGACGAACTCGCCGAGCGCCTGCTTCCTGGATCTCATCCGGTCCGCCTGTCGGTCAAAGTCGAATACGTCGCCTACGTCTATGATTGTCTACACGAAGCCGAAGCCTCGAGGCGGATGGCGAGGATGGCTATCAGGCACGTGTATGAAGCGCAGGAGGGCATGGATGACGATTCCTTCCAAGATGCGGCGGAGATGGTGGGAATACTGGGGCGGATGATGAAGAGAGGGCTGGGGGGAGGGGGGAGCAGCGGGAGTCAGATGCAGGGACAAGGCGGCAGTGGTGGAGGTGGTAGGAGAGATATCCAGCAGCCGTCGACGTGGGTATAGATCCGGGTCTGCCCTGATTGAGATCTGCCATGGCATTGTCTGCCTCTTGGGTCTGCTTCGAATCCAGTACCTGTGTTGAAACCGGACAATCCAAATGAACTTTTTCCTCCGATGCTTTCGGTCTTTTGTTCCGGGGACATCTCAGTGACATTGCGCTGCCCAAGTCCGACCTCAGTAGGTGTTGGGGCATGAATATGATCAAGAGTACACGTAACTACGGGCAGGCGATATCAGGAGAGGCAGAAGAGCCGCCAGGGAGGGTCGTTAGAAAGGTCCCCCGTATAGGTCGAGTGAGGTTAGGATCAGATGAAGGCCTGATGAGAGTAGAGTGGGTTGCAGATGAGATCGAAGGGAGCGGTTGTCGTGGAACCTGGTATGTACCTACGAGTAGCTTTGTCATAAATATCCTATATACGTCTCTGTCGCCTCCTCCTTGTGGGATATGTGTTTTTTTATAGTCTACTCTCACCAGACTGCATGCGGCCTGAATATCTCTCTGGGCCTTGACGCTCGCTTCTCTTACGACAAGGGATGGCTGGATCAAGCCAGAGGTCCACTTCCTGAGCATTTGGTGGCGAGCTTGGATTGATCGTCATTTCACAGGATTGGACGAGGGGACGAACAAAGGCACCAAGGCCGCACTCGCCCTCTCCAACTGCGTCCCAGCGTCCATTTGCTATTTGCCATCTGCACCATCTGCCATCTGCGCCTTTTGGCTCTGCGCGACTTCTAGATATTTATTAATTCCGGCGCAAGACTCCTTCTTTTCCTTTGTGCACCCTCCGCCAACTTCAAATTTCCATCACTGCTCCCTCTGTAGTCTTCTCTTCTCCTCTACATCACACCCACAGCCACCCCACACCCCGTCGGTAAAAGAGACTCGCTGGACATCAGGGACAAGGTTCGTTCCACCTCCCTCCACTTGAAACGCGACGTTCCCTAACTCCGGTACGCGCTTTACCAGCCTATTGCCACCGTTCTCACTTTGCTATCTCTCAATCTATCCCTTCCGCCTCCTACACTATGTCAGAAACCGGTCAGGGCTCGCCAAACGGCGCTGCGGGCGACGTGCCTCCAGCTGCGGCGGCCAACAACGAACACTTGAACATCAAAGTCACCGATGGGAACAACGAGGTCTTCTTCAAGATCAAGCGGAGCACCAAGCTGGAGAAACTCATGCGGGCGTTTTGCGAAAGACAAGGCAAGGACCCGAAGGCTGCGCGATTCCTGTTCGATGGGCAGAAAGTGCAAGCCGGCGATACACCCGAACAGGTGAGGGATCGGTCTGCGCAACAGGCCATGACTCAGAGACGGCTGACAAATGCGCCCAGCTTGAGATGCAGGACGGGGATTCAATCGAAGTGCACCAGGAGCAGATTGGTGGTTCCGCTTAAGGGCGCCCCGAGGCCAGAATGGTTTGCAGACGAAAGAATGACATCGAGCTGAAGGCTACAATTTCTTGCATGGATATCTTCTGGGCATGGTACACGGAAGACATGGTGCTGTTTGGTCGAGGGGTTGCGGACAGCAGCTTGGTCAACGAGGCGACGACGACGACAGCCATGAGGGCGGCGAGTCTTTTTCATGGAGTTGATGATCCCCGGTTGTCACGGTGACATGTGAACGTCTCTTTCTCAACCGACACTTGAGAATTGCATCTCATCCGGTCCAAAAGACACGGGCGGCCAATATGGCTGGAGCAATACGGGGTGGCTTGTAGCTCGAGGTTCACGGTTCAAATATTCAATTGCTTGTTCCCCCCAGCACCATGGCACTGGCCTTTGCACATGCCTCAAGAACAACCAGCCTCGATCATGCTGCTTCATTTACTATCAAGACATGAGGTCGAGACTTTGTGTAGTGGCCCGTAGATTTTGGTGTATGACGCACAAGGCGCGTGGCCGCGGCGCTGCTTCTCTCCACCACCGCACCATCACTACTGCTTCTCATCCTGGATTCTATACACCCTGCCTGCATGATTTGGGTGATCAATCTGTCCATCTCCTGACCCCAGTTACAGGGGCGACTGGCAGCAGTGTCCTTGTCCAAGAAGTCGTAACTCATCATCGACGACGACCGTTTCCACAAAGACCGCCCCAGTCTGTCAGCCCCTCACTCCCTCCTGACTTCTCACCACTGAATGCGAGCAGTATGTCATTCCATAACGCGAAGAGGCTGCGTCCGCTCCATCGGCCGCCATCCAGCTCCCTGGTGTCGTGGGCCGATTTTGAAAGAAAAAAAAAACCGCCTTGACCCTTGAGGCTGTGCGACGAGGCAGAGCTACATTCAACCCGAGCTGAGAAGATCTCAAATGCCTTTTCTCCGGCTTTCCCAAGGCAGACTGAACCTCTCTGGACCTCGCAGTATCCCACCTTCTCGCGACTTTCCTTCTGCTGGAACAGCACTGCATTGTTCTTCACCTTCGATTCAGAGGACTGTTTGAAAACCCAACTTCAGACCTGAATCCGGGAATCGTGCAGCTCGTGCCATCGGAACTTTGCTAACTAGTCAACGCTCCGATTGATGCGCCCCTGCCGCTGGCTCATTCATGGGCTCGCCATTCAGCATGTCTTCCCCATCGGACCGGGAGCTGGCATTCACCCAGATGTCCAGCAGCACGCCCCCACAACTTTCCTCTTTTTCCCAGCAAGGCAACGAGGACTGGGTTGCGCTTGGCCGAGTGCAGAATTCTGCTTCAGTTGCCGTCCTCGGTCGTCTGGCTGGAGCAGGCATCGACACCCTTACAGTTGCCTTCGGACCAGCAATGTGCTCTGCCATTCCCATCGATCTTCATGGAGAAAAGGTGCTCCAAGACGCCATGAAGCGACTAGCATCGCGCTCCTCTTTCGGCGACCTCATCTGATTTGGTGTCGGCGTGCGACATATTCTTCGAGATCTCATCCAGACCGCGCGGGGTCAGCTTTTGGTTGATCTCTGTGCTGCTCTCTGCGAAGGATATTCGACAGGCGTCTCCGCCCTCGTCCTATACGAGATATGCCGGCCGCTTGGGCGGAGTTTATACAGGGTCTGCGCGTCCGAGCGCTTTCGAGCAAGGGAGAACTCATCTTTAACAATCATGGCGATGACGCAGCTGGTTCTCAAGTCTCTATTACGTTCCGACAAATCGAATCCTCCGAGGCCTCCATCCAATGTACTGGTAACACTTTTGCCGTTCGGTCTGGAGCTGCATTTATTGCCGACTGCTTCTCAATTCATTCTGAAGCTGACCGCCTTGATGAGTACTGGTACTTCTCAAGTGACCGAACAGAATAGAGATCCGTGCTTCGAGCCACGTTTAGGGATGAGACCCTGGATCTATTGACTGGCCCCGGGCCTTCGCCTTCTACAGAGAATCAGTCGTCGACGTCGCCCTTGTCAAGGTGGATTAACACGTGCTGCGATATCGAAAAAGATTTTGCGCGAAGAGCTTTTGTCAGAGTCATTGCCTCCGGAACAGCCCTGGTCTTAAGAAATACAACGATCTACCATTGCTTTGGTGATCACATTGGGTTTATTATCATGGTTGACGGTTAGGATGACGGATTTGAAACCTCTAATGTCCCATCTGGTCGATGCAGCCTGGTCCCTCAACCCATTGCGTGAAGTCGATTTCCATGTTGAGCAGTATCATTCGGCGCTCCAGGATCTGATCGCAGCCTGTCGATGCAGGCAATGTTCCTGGCACAGGAGTGAACGGTCCCCATGCCCGGTTGGCCTTGCACGGACTATAGTCAAATTATCAAATCTTCTCCCAAGGTTGATCCAAACACGATTGCGTCCAACTCACACAGGTATTATGGGCCTGTACCATGATTTGACTAGAATCAATCTCAACGATCGTACCATTACTCGTCTCAACAGTCGCAAAGTCGGTGAATTGTGGTAGATTTACCTGGAGGTTGTTGATTCAGGGCTGGATAAGGAATATCTTGCTTGCTCTAGACTCTTTGGAACTAGCAGTTCGCCCTTTTCACTCTCAGACGCGGGGTACTGCGCTTTCGGTGACGGCACCATATTCTGTTACACAGACACTCTAAGGGAGCCGACAGATTGCATCGAACAAGCTATTTTCATACATGTCGGGGCGGGTTCAATCCACTATGGCTCAAGACTATACGACAGGGTATCAGGCCGGGTTCCAATGGAAGCTGGTCGCCAGTATCCAGCACATCATCTCACGCTCAATAGTCTCATATGTCTTTTGGACCAGGATACGACCTCTCCAGAACTTTCTCTAGAAGCAGTGGTCGAGGAAAGAATCAGGGGCCTTGCATTCTGATATAGAGCCCCCTGCGGACATGGGAATGTTACCTTCTCGCCCACGAGACTGCTGGTTGGATTAGCCAGAGCCCGCGACCCCCTCATTCCGCGAAAATGCTCCTGGTCTACCCAGCATTGAAGTTCGATCCTCGAAGACGGAACATACAAAATGATCGACAGAGAGGGTGACGTCCCTCATGAACTCCAAACGAACTTTCTCTTACGTCCTTTGCGAGCGAATCTCCTTGGCCGCTGTGTTGCCATTGCCCGCGCAGAGTGCCCCCGAATTGCCTTGGTAAAGACCGACGACGAGTTCGCCATCTTCGCAAGATACTAGGGGACAACCGAACCAGACTCTGTCCACCACCTCACCCCTGCAGAATCTTAGAAATGGATTAAAGATAATACTTAGGCTGGGTACGCATTTGAGCTGACCTCTTAGCCCGTGACCTTATGTAGTTTCGATACGAGGATTCGACTCTTGCAAGCATCTTAGGAGGCGCTGAATAGAACCATGAGTGACTCAACTACGGACTGGGCCGGACATGCATTGGTACGCTAACAAGAGGCGATGCCTATGTAAATGGTGTAATCTCGGAACGTTTATTTTATGCCGTGGACCCCGAGCTGGCGGGCTGGCGGGCTGAAGAGCGGCACCGACCAGTCCCTCTATTCGAACACAGCTACGTGCCGAATATAATGGAGACCCGAGGCCGAGCTGAAGATGAAGACAAAGACAAGGTGAAGGTGAAGGTGAAGGTGAAAGCCATCTGACCGGGAGCATATATATATTCCAATTTAACCATGTGTCGATATGTTGATGCGTGGGTAGTACAAGGCTGCACACGACCGCTAAATGCACTGGAGGACCAAGCCACTGGGACTCTTGCTTTCTCGTTCTCGTTCTCGTTCCATCAATCAATCTGTATGCCGCCACCGGCATCAAGACATGGGCCATCTGGGTGCTGGGTGCTGGGTGCTGGGCGCTGGGTTCTGAACCGGCATCTTGCAACACCATGGTGTTCAGACCAGAACTGAAACCCTGCAAGACAGAGACATCTGCGAGACATTGGACATACGACAGTCTCTGGCGATCCGTCTACCTCTACATCTGCTCAGAGTTCAGCTACGTGTCTTGGCCATTGAGGGTTTGGTCGAGAGTTGGATCTGTTTGATTTCAATTAACTACCCATTTCGCCACGCTCGCCTGCTTGCTAGGGATGAAAGGCTGGAGTGGGATTAACCGATGCCTGAGTATCCTTCATACGCCCCGCATCGCATCGCTTTGGAAAAGTAACGAAAACTTGCTGCTGTTCGATGGATTCCAAACAAAACCAATCAATGGTCCTGCCTTCTAAGTTGTTCACGCTACTACAACCGTGCCATCAACATGCTTTGTTGTGTTCAAGACGTACACTGACAAGTGACAGACCCAGCTTGTCATGCACAAAAACTTCCGCCTCCACCTAAGCTTCTTCCTCCAAAGGCGCTTCCTCCTCACCGTACTCCTCTTCGCCCTCAGAGATGCTCGCATCTTGGTACTGCTGGTACTCCGAGACGAGATCATTCATATTGGACTCGGCCTCGGTGAATTCCATCTCATCCATACCCTCGCCAGTGTACCAGTGCAAGAAAGCCTTGCGTCGGAACATGGCAGTGAATTGATCACCAACACGCTTGAAGAGTTCTTGGATAGAAGTAGAGTTGCCAACGAAGGTGGATGACATCTTCAGGCCACGAGGAGGGATCGAGCAGAGAGCGGTTTGCACGTTATTAGGGATCCACTCGACGAAGTAGCTGTTGTTCTTGTTTTGAACGTTACGCATCTGGTCCTCGACCTCCTTCATGCTGACTTTGCCGCGGAAGATGGCAGAGCAAGTTAGATATCGGCCGTTTCGGAAGTCTGAAGCAGCCATCATGTTCTTGGGGTCGAACATCTGTTGTGTAAGTTCGGGAACACTAACAGCGCGGAAGGAGTAGGCGTTTCGGCTAGTCAGGGGAGCAAAGCCGACCATGAAGAAGTGAAGTCGAGGGAAGGGGACCATGTTGACGGCCAATTTTCTCAGGTCAGAGTTGAGTTGACCGGGGAATCGCAGGCAAGTGGTGACGCCGGACATGACTGCCGAAACAAGATGGTTCAAATCGCCATACGAGGGGTTAGACAGCTTAAGTGTGCGCATGCAAATGTCGTAGAGAGCCTGGACAAGTTAGCACAGAACAGACAACGACCAAATGCATATCGTACCTCGTTGTCGATGCAGAAGGTCTCATCCGAGTTCTCGACCAATTGATGAACGGACAGAGTCGCATTGTACGGCTCGACTACGGTGTCGGAAACCTTGGGGGAGGGGACGACAGAGAAAGTCGCCATCATTCGGTCTGGGAATTCTTCTCGGATCTTGGAAATCAACAATGTACCCATACCGGCACCGGTGCCACCACCAAGGGAGTGGGTAATCTGGAATCCTTGAAGGCAATCGCAGCTCTCGGCTTCACGTCGGACGACATCGAGAACTTGGTCCACAAGTTCAGCACCCTCAGTATAGTGACCCTTGGCCCAGTTGTTTCCTGTAAAGATGTGTTATTGCTGTAATTATTCTCATGCTAGCCAGCCGTTATCATCTTACCAGCACCGCTCTGGCCAAAGACAAAGTTATCGGGACGAAAGAGTTGACCAAAAGGGCCGGCTCGAACCGCGTCCATGGTACCGGGTTCGAGATCGACAAGGACGGCACGAGGGACATATTTGTTTCCAGAAGCCTGATAGATGTTAGAGGGCGGATCAAATCAGAGCATTCAGGGGGTGAGATACCTCATTGAAGTAGACGTTCATGCGTTCAAGTTGGAGATCCGATGTGCCATTGTAACTGCGTTTGTGGTCAACTCAATGGTCAAGCTGTTCGATTTAGATGGGACATACACTCCAGAGCCGTCAAGGCCATGCTCGCCCGAGATGATCTGCCTGGAAGCTGGTTAGATTGGCGGTTGTCGCGTGTCAGAGACTGCGTACCAGAAGGCAGCACCAATTTGATTGCCCTAGGAACTTTTGTCAGTCTCGCAGAACACGTAGAGATTTTTTGCTTGAGAGCACTTACGCATTGGCCGGTTTGCAAATGAACCTATTCGTGATGGACATGTCAGTCTGGAAGCTGTCAAGGGACGTTGATGGTGGGGGTGCAAGACCAGGGGTAAACAGGGCTTGAGACGCGTAGCAAACTCACAATTTCACGCATGGTGTCGGATTAATGAGGATGATGGAGAAGATATGGACAGGTTGCGAGATGAAGAGGATGATGGACGAGCTACTCCAAGGAAAGGTCTCTCCAGAAGATGGCGAGGTGGTAAGGTGCAGTGGTGGACAACGAGACAGAAGTGAAGACCGCAGGTCAACAAACTCGAAGTTTGGGCAGTGGTTCCAGTGGGACGCCAAGCAACCGGCGGCGCGATAGGCTGCCAGTCCAGAAGGTCAGGCGGTGAAGAAGGCGCTAGCCACGCCAGGCGCCTTTCCTCTTTCGGCCATCCGGCAGTACGGAGCACACAGAACACAGGACGCACAGCTCTCTCGCCGTCAACACCGGGCGAGGCCAGGAGCTTCCCCACGACATCTCATTATTGTAGCGGTGTCGCATGTTTCCTCTCAAAGCTATACATTTTGTTCTACCTGGTGCAGTGTCCTCCCATTGTCCATGCATCCGTGACATATTTGATGCTGGGTATCAAAGATAAAAGCATTGGTTTCTGTGTCTGTCTACACTTCATTCGAAGGATATTCCACCTTTGTAGTGGGCAGTGTCTCCTCCTTCATTGACCTCATACTGACAAATCGCGACAATATTGCTGCTGATCCGGCCTTGTCGTTCGTCCCTGAAGCTCGTGCACCTCCAAATGGTTGTTGGCCAACAACAGCACCTGTTCTCGACGTCAGCAGGAGGGGGCTGCCAACAGCTCATGAAATCGGTCCTTACCTGTACTCTTGCAGTTGATGTAATAGTTGCCCGCTGCATTCCTCAACGCCTCCTCGGCATACCTGATCGCCGCACGATCTTGAGCGAACACCGCCCCTGTCAGGCCATATTCCGAAGTGCCGTCTACGAGCGTGCATGCCTTTTCGAATGCATCTGGCGTCGTGTCATCATAGACATAGACTGTCAAGATCGGTCCAAAGAACTCGGTGCTGAAATTTTGATGGCCGGGATCTTTGGCGAGGTAGATGGTGGGATGCACGTACCATCCCTTGGAGCTGTCGTATTTACCCCCAGTGAGGAGCTCCAAAGAGTTATCGTCCTTCGCAGCGTCAATCACACCAGACAGCTTCTTGAAGCTCGCCTCATGAATGACCGGCCCAATGAAGTTACCAAAGTCTTCTGGAGGTCCAACTTTGAGCTTCTCAGTCTCCTGAACAAGCTTGGTTTTGAACTCGGGCCATATTGACGATGGGACATACAATCTGGAGCAAGCACTGCATTTCTGACCTTGATACTCAAATGCGCCCCTGATCGTTTGCACCACTGCATTGGTGATATCAGCACTGTTGTGGACCAGATGAAAGTTCTTCCCGCCAGTTTCTCCCACTATTCTGGGATAACCTCTGTACCTGCCCTCGGCAATCCCCTGTCCAATCTGGCCATACAGCTTTCGGAAGACAGCCGTCGATCCCGTGTAGTGTAGCGCTGCGAACTGCTTGTGACTGAGGACAGCTTTGGTGACTTCTTCAGCATCGCCAGGTACAAATTGGATGACCCCAGCCGGGAGTCCCGCCTCCATGAGGATCTGATGCACCAAGTAATTTGAGGCAATGGCCGATGGGCTGGGCTTCCAGATCACCACGTTGCCCATCAACGCTGGGGCACCAGGTAGATTCCCTCCAATGGCCGTGAAGTTGAATGGAGAGATGGCATAGACAAACCCCTCAAGTGGTCTGTATTCGACCCTGTTCCACACCCCCGGAGAGTTATAAGGTGGCTGCTGGGCATACAGCTCTTCTGCGTATCGTACATTGAACCTCAGAAAGTCAATCAGCTCTGCAGCCGCATCAATCTCAGCCTGCCATGCATTCTTTCCCTGCCCTAGCATTGTTGCAGCCATCAGCTCGTATCTGTATTTCTTGCTGATCAGATCAGCGGCCTTGAGGAAGACAGCAGCTCGGTCGGCAAAGGGTAAAGACTCCCAGGCGGGCTTTGCAGCGAGGGCCCCTTCAATGGCGTTGTTGACATCTTCGGTAGAGGCATTGGAGTATTTGGCAACGGCCGTCGTGTGGGAGGATGGGCTGTTCTGTGTGAGGAGGGAGGATGTCTTCACGGCTTTGCCAGACACAACCAGAGGGATTTCAAGAGGTGCCTTTTCTTGTAGAGCTGCCACTGCAGCGGCTAGACCTTCACGCGACAGCCCACTCTTCTCATAATGCTGGTTGGGCTCGTTGGAGATGTTTGGCACCCGGAAAGCTGCGAGAGTGGACATCTTGACATGAGTCGAGCGTAGACAGTGGAAGGATTGAGTGGTGGCTGTAGTACCAGAAAGTAGAGAAGGTCGAGAAAATGAGAGGAGTGTTCTAATTGAACCAGACATTGCTATGAGAAGGCAAAGCAAGAGCCACCTGACAAAACTGAATTTACTCGTCCCCTCCTCACAGGCCACAAACACGCGCCCCACGTCGAGTTTTTGAGATCAAATGCTTGCTCCCAAGCTTCCCCTCTGGCTATCATCGGCTGGTGTCGGGGATGACGGTTGGCGGTTAGGGATGGAGATGCCCGTCGGGGCCACTGATAGGCATTGGTTGGGTCCTTCTCTATTGGCGGGAGCTGCGCCGTGGGACTGGAAAATAGGGTAAGAGGCTGAAGCAAAAGTCTCCTGCGAAGCCTTGTCCAGCAATTCATCAAAGGTCACAGGGCCGCAGTGGCACAGATTCTCCTTGGAGTCTCTTATCGAAGATGAAGTTTTTCTCTCTGACAGGCATGGCCTCGCTAGTTTCAAGCTCGACGGACAGCAAATGGACAACCACCAGTCCTCTCTTTTTTCAGTCTTTGCCTGGTCATCTCCATCTCCTTCTGTCCCTTATCGATGAACACAGATGGGCCTGTAGTCTTGATTTCGAAGCCTTCCGGATATGTGCCTGGGTCTCCTGGACGAGGGACTCCAAGCAGCAAGTGAACCATGGCTCCGGGTCCCCACCGATTCCACAAAGTAGGCTTGACATAAACGGGTGCAGTGTCCCACGTAACATAGTATCTTCTACCGGACGCGTCAGGCTCCTTGGTCATCATCTTCTTGGCCATGAATGAGGGTTTTGGTAAAGCAAGATATCTCAGATAGAAACGTCTCAATTCCATGAAACCGTTGAAGAATGATCGGTAAGATGCTGGGGCCTCGTCGAACATGATGGCCTCCCTTAGTCTGTCGTCTAAGGGAGCGCTCACGACCTTGCTAAGAACACCTTTCATAAAGGGAGGGTACATGCTCAGCAGTAACTGTCGAGTTTGCACGGCTGTGTCGTAGTTTTTTTGGTGAGGCACCATGGAATTCTTCTCATACTCCTTTGCCCAGGTATCCAACTCCCGGTAGAAGTGCAGCCCATCTTTCCATCCTGTCGAGTACGAAGGGAGCTTCTCAAAAGAGATCTCCATCCCATCGCCCATTGCTTTGTGGAAGACCCCCATGGCGCAAATCTCCAGGTCACTGAGTTGTCTCCACTCGTACTTATTGATCCATTCCACAGGCTGGTTGAGGAACAACGAGAGTGTATACAGCATATCGTCATTGCTGATTTTGCCCTGCCTAATGTAGTGACCGTGCAAATAATTCAGTCTGGCGTAAGCCTCAATGCACCTGTCGCTGTCAGGTTCGCCGCCATACATATCACCAAGTAGGACCCCAGTGTCGGCGTATCGCTTGGGGACATTTTTCTCCGTTGAGAGCTGGGTGGTCTTGACGAGCAGCTCGCTGATGGTGGGAATGCCGTAGGTGCGGAAAAGAGCAAACTGCAACCCCTTCTCGAACAAGGTCGGGAATTCGACATCGCTCACGGCCTTCAGGATATCATGAGCTTCATTGACAGTCATTCCCTCAAAAGACGGATGTTCAGGCGTGCCGTATTTATACTTGGCCTGGAGGGCCTTTAGTCGGCGGAAGCGGAGTGCTGAGCAGAGAAGAGGATAGGCCACAATCGCGGGAAGAAGATAGTAGGACCAAAACCACGAGAAGCTTGACAGTCTTTGGGTGGAGACGGACGCCAGCTTAGAGAGCGACTCATTTGAGAAGGTCGACATGGTGGATGGCACCCCTTGTCCCTCGATGCGCTGTTTGCCAAAGCTGACCAACGACACGGGCAGCGTGAAGCTGGGGATGACTGTTCCCAGAAGACTCAACAACGGATTTCCCCTTTGAAATAATCTGTGGAACGAAGGACGGCAGGAGATGCGCGGCAAGACTACGAGGAACAGCAGTTACTGACAACAGAAATAATGGGAGGCTGAACACACAGTGAGACTTGAGTAAGCAGCTTTATGTTGATTTTGATTCTCAGCTTGGGCCTAATTAGTGAGCCTGGTGAGCCCTCTAGCCTTCTCGGTTAGCACCACCACAACCAGGCGCCTACTTACTGATGTACAAGACCTGTAGAGATCGGCGTCCTTTGTGACTCGGGCCAATCCAATCCAACCCAATCCACGCTTGCTGCTCGTACATTGCTTCTATTTTCATCCGTCGCGTCTTCTTCACTTATCCAATAGAGCAATATGGGGTCTCTCACTCATCACCTCCGTCGGTCGAGTCTGGTATGGGTCCAAACCACCAGCGCCCATCAGGTACGGAGGAGTAAGTACCTTTTGTGCTAGCTGTCTGCACAAGAGATATGGAGTTATGCAAAAGAACACAAGAGGCCACGAGAGCCAGAAGTCATATTTTCCTCATTAGTCTAGCGATGTGACGAGCGCGTGCACTGCCGAGTCAGCCAAGTCGACGTCAAATGTCGATATCAGGACTACCAGGACCATCAGGACGGCTTGAAATCATCCCGGTCGAAGGTGAGTGAGGCCTCCCAGGTACAAACCAGCTCGGCCGAGTCACTATCCAGGGAGCATATTATAGCTTGGACGACTTCTTTGGAGTCTGTACATAGCCGACTTTGTTCAATTACTAGTTGATCTGCGTCTCGATCTTGTCTAGAATATCCTTCGCTTGCACTTCCCTCTCTTTGATCCGTGATGCATCTAGCCCACAATCAGTCATGTAATGCAACTCCCGCATTTCACCCAGAAATCAAACATCCCGCATCAGGCTCTATACAGATGCTATCCGAAACATGTGCAATGCCACCACTCATTCCCGTATCCGTGCATAGATGTACTGCCTGCCCCCTTATTCCATCTTCGCTGTCCCATTGGCTAATGCAATTGCGCGGGCGGCTGCTTCTTCGAATGAATCTGTGACAGGGGTTATTATCGGGTATCTGGTTCCACGCAACCCAGCGTCCACTTACCGTAGGCATCCAGCTTGAGACCACTTTCTCGTATGAGCTTCTGTCCTTCGGCCTCCCGGGTTCCCCGAATACGAACGACCACAGGGACCTGAAGATCCAAATCCTTGAACGCCATCAGGATTCCCCGGGCAATCATGTCGCCCAGCGTCAAGCCCCCAAAGATGTTCACGAATATGCACTTGACTCGAGGATCCGACGTCACGATTCGGAAGCCGGCCTTGATCGTGTCGGAAGTGGCTTTCCCGCCGGTGTCCATAAAGTTTGCTGGATGGCCACCTCGAGCCACCAACGCATCAACCGTGTTCATTGCTAGGCCAGCGCCGTTTACAATTGTGGCGAGCGTGCCCTCTCCCGCCAATTTCACGTATATCATGCCCTCTTTCTCAGCCTCGACTTCTTCACGCACCTCGCTCTTGATGTCCCTCAGGGCATGGATGTCTGCCTGTCGCCCCGAGCTTCTGAAGGCCGCATCGTCAAACCCGAATTTGGCGCCTTGCACTTGGAGACCTCCATCATTGTCAATGATGATTTTCGTCTGAAGTACAAAGGCTTCTTTGGACATGAAGATGTCGACCAGCTCGGCAATAAGTCTACCCAGCGAATGCCGACCATTTCCAGACACGCCCAAATGTGCTGACACGGTCTGAAGCATTGCATCTGAAGTCGCTTCATCCGTGCCGTATGCGAAAGGGAACTTTTTGGACTTGGCGAATGCTTCCGAAGGATCTGTGGTGGGTGATGCGATGATGCAAGGCTGCCGGGCCTCGCGATCAATGGAGATGGCAATGAACTTTTCCTGGAGTCCTGTTGGATTGTCGACGGTGGGTATGCCCCTTTGCTTCAACATATCAAAAGCCTGCAAAGGTTTGATGTATAAGCTACGCCATTGCTGGAAGGTGGCTTTCGTGTCCATCGGTCGAAGCCGCCTTCGCATGGTATGGTAGCCTCTTTTCTGCGATGCCGTTGAGGACCCTAATCTGCCGTTTACACCCGATTTCGACCGCTCAGCAAGTAATGCCTTCATGCCTTCTCCCAATTTCTCCGGATGGTCGACGACTTTCACTCCGACCTCTTCCAGAATCTTGATTTTTTGTGCCGCGGTGGCTTCTCCGGGAGCAGCCCATGCTCCTGCATGACCCATGATCCGGCCAGGCGGAGCCTCGATGCCTCCAATTACCGACATGAATGGCTTGGGGTTTGCAGTCCGCCGCTGATATTCTTTGATCCACTCTGCGGCCCTTAACTCAGCGCTTCCTCCGATCTCCCCGATCATGATGATGCCCTCGGTGTTCTCATCCTCAACTAGGACCTGGAAAGCTTCCGTGAATGTTGTTCCTGCAAGCACGTCGCCGCCCATGCTGATTGCGTAGGTCTGGCCCAGTCCCGCCCGTGTCGTTGAGGCGACAGCTTCATAGCTCAATGTGCCCGATTTGGCGACAATACCAACGTTGCCTTCACGAAAGAACGGCAGAGGTTGGAAGCCTAAGCGGCACCGACCGTGAACGTTGATGATACCCGGACAATTTGCGCCAACCAACCTCGTCTTTGACTGTGTCCGTAGCATTTGGTGTATTCTCAAGATGTCGTGTACGGGTATATGTTCGGCAACTGCTACAATGAGAGGGATCTCGTTCTCAATGGCTTCCTCCATAGCCGTAACGGTTCCATTTCCAGGGACGTAGATGGCGCTGGCATCGGGCTTGAGCTTCTCCACTGCCGCCCTGACAGTGGGCAGAACAGGTAGACCCAGATGCTCACCCTCCACTCCGGGCTTGACGCCGCCAACAATGTTCGTGCCGAACTCAAGGGATTCTTTTGCATTCATCGTGGCTTGGCGCCCGGTAAAGCCCTGATAGAGCACGCGAGTATGCTTGCCGATCTTGAGGTTGTTGATCGTGTCGGCATAGCTCCACCGCCGAGCAGTCGTCGAGAATGGGGCGACATTTCCACAGGTACCATGTTTGTATAGGACAGACCAAGAGGCTTTCTGGGATCTTAACCCCCTCGGCAAAATGATTCGGGTCATCCCACGAAAGCACGCTGAATGCTTGCAGAAGAAAAGTGCCAGGGCTTCGAGCCAAACACAAAGCTGGATATAACGATTTCGGAACTCCGAAAAAGCTCAATTGAAGAACCTGGATCAACAGCGAACCTCAGTAGCTAAACAAGAGCCAATACTCGGTATTGGGTGAGGAGAAATATATACAAAAGATTGGAGAAGGGCTCGTTTCCACACGCTCGGTTGAGTCTTCGGGTACGAAGAGTGAGGCGGGTGAAGATGTTCCGAGGTCGGAGAAGGCGCCATTGAGGAGGACGACATGAATCGAGACGCATATAATGGTGGCGCGGGTGTTTGCGGCCTGGTTTCCGAGACGCTAGCAAGTTTTCGAGAGGGAAGGAGCGTTGATGGGCGAGGCGAGATTGGTGGCTTGAGAGGAATTGGGGGCAGCAAGGGGGCGTACGAGGTACAGTACAGAGAATGCTATCTCGTACCTGGGGAAGTAATATCAGCCGGAATCTCACCTATCAGGCGAGGGGTATATGTACCTCGTACTGTGGCCCGGCTTACCGTATTGTCGAGTCTGGGCTCCTCGGCCCCTGTTGCACTTTTTCTCTTGCCTTCTGGCCTGCATCAGGGGATTCAACGGAAATGCGGGGTTGGTCTTACAGCGTCGCATGCCCCTTGGAGGCGCCACAGCCCGCCCAGCTTAACCAGAACGTTTCCATGCAGGGCGCCCCCAACGCCAACTGCCGCTTAACTTTGTGCTCCGCTTGCTATTCGTCTTTGCACATCCGTTGACACGAGATGTCTGAGGGATGGAGCTCGTTGCGGAGCACACTGTTCGTCAGAGGCATCGAGCATCTTATGACATCGATCGAGAGATGATCCGATCCTCTTGTTCCTGGAACATTGAGCCATATCCTTGCTCCTGACTATTTGTTTGCTCAGGTGCGCTCCTCCTCTGGCAGTCTTCCCCTTGCATGAGTATGTCGGCCCAAACATCCGTACAATCCAAGCTGCCAGGTTTACACTTAGACCTCCCTCCTAACCCCTCCATGAAGAAAGAAGAAGTGGTTGAGTCTTGGGAAGACGACGATGCTTCTTCGCCCGCCGAAGATGACTGCGACACTCGAACACCTGTCGAAGGAATGAGCTTCTCGTTGAAACCGTCCGAGTCCGCAGACCCTGCATTGCGTCCGCCGCCTCCGACTCCCATTGCCCTTGGAAACGGTGCACAGTACATTGACTGGTCGCCTGCTCAAGTTCTTGGGGGAGGCCGTCCAAGCACCAGGCCTTATACTCCTCCCGGAGCATCCACTCCACAGTCTGACTCTGATCGAGACCGACGGAGGCCAGAGAAGACCACAGCTGCCGCTAGTCGAATGATTGCCTCAGGGTTAGGGATGAAAGCTCCTAAGAAGACCGAGGAACAAAAACAATATGACCGAGCGGTTAGGGAACAGGAGATGAAACGAAGGAGTAAGGAGAAGGAGGAGAGGGAACGCGAAAGAGAGGCCGATGAAAAGGCAAAAGCCGCAGTTTGGGACGATTGAATCCTCCAGACTGTCGAATGGTTCGGGGAGGCCGAAAGGGAGAATCCAAAGATTCTGTGTTTGCGCAAATGTTCCACAATTTTGACGACTTCTTCTGATGTGTCGCTATCTCGCACTGTTGCTAAGATAGGAGGTGCATGCTCTGTGCAAAGGAGGCCAAAGATCCAGATTTCCATATCAAAGTAGGAAGTCTCAAGCAGTTGCATCAAAAGTGAGAGATATCTTGCCAGTTAGTTCAATCCAAAGCTGCCGCAAGACCAAGGTCGTCTCTGGCCTTTGGTTACCTGCACAGAATGTCCACTAGTGTCTGTAGCATAGTTTAAGTTCAGCAACCATTTTGAAGGGAAACAAAAGCAATTGTTTTGGGTTAGAGGGTAATGTGTTCTACAGGAAAGGATAGCACTCGGTACTTGAGATCGAAGGGGATGATGGTGTGAATTGTGGCCACCCTATGACGCACGTTGGTCACAAGGAAATGTTCGCATATCGAAATCTCTCTTACCATACATGGTATGTAGGCAGGACAACTGGCCTATATTTCCCTGGCATCACTCACTCAGTTTTTGTATTGTCAACTCGATTGCGATCTCTCAATTTGCATCTTTCAGATCCACCGCCGAATCATTGGCGAGGACCACACAATGGTGAATCCAGCCATGCAAAGTCAAGTTCTTTTGCGGTGCCAACGCTTACCATCAACCAGGGCCGCCTCGAAGACGATTTAAAGACAGACCCTCCCTGTCATCCCAGAGCGGTGAGTACTCCGTATGTCTTCTTGACATCCAGGGCCTCAGTTATCGCTGATGCTTTTTTTACTCAGTGTGCTATCCAAGGTGTGTGTCACATCGACGAGTCACTGGTAATATGTGCGAAGAGTAACCCCCCGTCAACCAGATTGTCTGCAGAAAAATAACTACAAAGAGGAAAAATGCCAATCAGCAATAGATGCCTTGTACGAATGTTGCAATGCTTTCTACAAGGACAAAGGAGACGATGCTAGTACAACCTCGTGTCCCAAACCCAAGCTGTTGAGGCTGAAGATGGAGCAGCGAGGCCAAAAGTGAAGCTTGAACATTCATTCGGCACGCGAGTCCCTTAGTATAGAGTCCATATGTACATAGTCCCGGCCAACTGTCAGGATGTCGCTAGAGGCCATGGTAAAGTATATGTAGCAACTCGATTTTTTCTACCTGAGCCATCAGTCCCATTTGGAGGTCTGGTCAGCTGAATAGCGAATGCCGAAACATACTCTGAGGCAATCGTGAGCACGCAAGAGATCCCGGAGGATCTGAACAAACATTGAATGAGAAAGGGTCTGTTCCGAGACTCTAATGACTACCTGGTTGACATTGGTAGAAGAGAAGGAGAGGAAAGAGGGAAAAAGAATTTCGAATCGCCATTTTCAAAACTTCACCAATAGCCTATTTGGGTTTAGCTTCTCGAGGAATCTGCCGCGTCGCGTGTAGAGCGCAAAGACCGGCATGTAAATTCCAAAGCTGTTGCAACTCCCGGCCCAACATCGTCCTATTGCAATTCCCGTCATTTAACAGCCCTCAGAAACAGCTCCTATCGAGGCGCAGAGATGGCCCCTATTACGAGATCTTCTGTCCATGGAAGGCAGTCCCAGGTAAGTCAACCACGCAGCTGCCACAGTGCAGGTACTGAACTCAATGACCAGTTGGACAACCGCAGGACCGTCGAAGAGTCCCATATGCGTGACCAAGACCAAGAGATGGCCGACCAAGACGAAGAAACGTCTGTTCACGAAGGTGCGACGAACCACAATAATTTTCTTCTCACTCAGCAAGATGTCCCGGACTCTACCACGCCCGAGATGCAGCCAGGATCCAACATGCTGATCGACACTCTAGATGCGCAGTCACCCTTCAGATCCTCTGCGCAGGAGATGCTTCGCCCTCTTCAGGACACTGCCGATCGTGTGAGCAGGCAAGTCGAGGAGTTTGCAAAGGCTCTAGACAGATTTGTGTCTACCCGAGAGCCCACCGATGAGTCTCTCTGGGAGGATGCCCTGGTCCTGTTAGAGCGTTACAGCAAGATTGCGGACATTCAAAAATCAAGGACAACTACGGAGGAGTCTGCAGGGGAACGGGAAAAGACGCAGCTCGAATCTGATTTGTGGATTTTGGTTAGGAACCTGCTATACTGCAATTCTCCGCCCTCCCTCAATGATGCCCAGATTGCCCGAGAATCGAGGTTGGGTGGTCTGCATCGCTACTCAAGCAATGTTGAAATCTGGACTGCATTCCTCGACTCCGATGCTGCCGCACAGGAGTATGAAACCATCCTGGCGTGGCTGCAAGAGAGGGCTGCCGAGACATCCCCTCCTATTGAAGACTGCACGCGCAGTCTAGCAGAGAAGTCGGAACGTGGAGATGGCATTTGGAGCGCCGGACCTATTTTCACACAGGCCGCCATTAAGCAGCAGAAGCGGACCCGAGTGTGGTCACTACCGTTGGAGCCTTCAAATCCTGGATTGAACCGAACCCACGTTCGCAAAGGCGACCAGAAACCTCTCGTCGCTCAGCTGGATCCTGATGCTCCAACTAGAGAGTCGGCTGTACTTCAAGAACAAGATGAATTCCACGAGCAGGCTGCCTGGCAAACATACTGGGAAATGCTGCGCAGGGGATACAACAATGGCCAGATTCAGTCATGGTTCGCGGAACGGAAAGAAGTCTGGCGCTATACAACCCTTGGTAGCTGTGGTCCACATGCTGAACAAATGGGGAATTCACCCTGGTTGCGCATTCTGAATTTTGCCTCAAATTCCGAATGGTTGAAGCGTTGCGAGATACTGGCTCACAATCCAGCTATCCAAGACCATTTTCAGAAAGCCGTTTATGGTATACTTTGCGGTGACGATGTGGCTTCCAAGTCTGCAACTAGAAACATTGATGACAATCTGTTCTCCATTTTCAATTCCCTTCTTATCCGGAGATACCAGCACTATCTTCAAGCCTACAGAAAGAGGTTGACAGACACGACCACCACTGAATACCGACCTCAGCCACCTTCCACCACCGAAGTCCAGCAGTATGTCGCCCTTGCTCAAACTAATCCAACCACAAAGGACGAATCTCAACAACCGCACAAGTTAATGGAACTGGCAATCGTCTCAAAAGATTTCGACAACTTCTTTGTGAACATGGGCAGGGCTGCTGCTCGTATCGCACATGCCACAGGTCAGGGATCCCACCTCATGACTAGAAGCGAAAACGAGAGTAGTGAAGTCGCCAAACTGAATGCTCAGGACCAAGACTGTGTCCGGATGATTGCCCATCTACAGTTATTGTTACGTTCTCTGGGCTTGTTGCGATCGTCATACGACGAACACGAATACGAACTTGAAAACAACATTGCAGCTTACATCGGACTGTTAGAACATTGGGGCAAGTGGCTTCTCATTCCTCTTTATGCATCTAAACTGTCCAAGAAGAGAAGCTACCACGTCCTGGGAGCCATTTTGATCAATGTCACAGATCGGCGTGAAAGAGATTTACAAGTAAAGCTGATGAAGCAATACAAGATCAACGTGTCAGAAGTCACCTACGGAATTTTCTCTCTTGCCAATTACTCGGATCTCCAGAAACTTCGAAGGTATAAACATGGTCCGATACCTGCCAGAATCACCGTCTTGGGTGGTTCGGGCAAGTTGGCACAGTACAAAATTCAACCTAGCTTGATGACAGGCGAGGTGGCTGAGGCAGACGAGAAGGCAGTGAGGAGCGTTGAGTGGATCCGATACGTTGATGCCGAAAACTGGGGTGCAGCTGCCTGGTCTGTTGCGGTACTCTACAAAGTTTTTTTGATCGAAGGGAAATTTATCGCCATGCGCCAGCTGCTTGATCGCGTTCGTCTCTCGGAGATGTCACTTGCTGCCGTGGGGATGAACCTGCATTTCGCCGACGCAGATCCACCGATAAACACCGTTGAAAACGAGGCAGAGATGGATGAAGATCGTGTGACTCCCATGAGCAGCCCGACTAGGAGGAGAAAGGCAGCTAACTCAGACCATCCTTTGCTGAGAGCTGGGACTGATCGGCAAACGCTGGCGTTAAAATCACTGATTTGGAAACAACTGGAACAACTTGTAGCCGCCATTGATGCTTTGGACATCTTCCAAGAAGTGGCAGACGGTCTCGAACAGTGGGTAGCCCTGTCTCCGAATTCTTGCCGACTGAAGCTGACAGAATAATACAGACACCGAACAAACCCCTCTGTTGCACGAAACTACAAGCGCGACTTGAAGCGGGCTCTGGAGCAAGTTCGACAGGATATGCTCCCACTATTTGACAACGACTTTCTTTGCCAGCCTCAAGATGATATGGAAGCCGTGGTCCTGAACGATATACGCAACCACTACATCCCCGAATGTATCCTCGCCTACAACAGCGCTTTGTGGTTTGCAGGCCACTTCTCTTCTCGTGCCTGGCTTGTTGAATGCATGACCCTAGCCCAAGTGATTGCGGAGACTCCCATGCTAACCAACGCCTTTGTGGAAAGTGGAAGAATGAAGGAACTAGTTCGTGCATTTGCGGTTGACAGCCAAGCGCTCCTGCAAGCAACAGAACAAGGTGCTTCTGGTGGTGCCGGGGCAAGTGCCGGCCGAGCGAAAAAGATCAAGACGGATAAAGGGAATGCAGATATCTGGAAGGTGTCGTGGAAGGAAGAGACTGGACCATTGGATCTGGACGCGATGGACTAAAACACAATACGACATGAGTGCACTACCACTCTGCTGTGAGTGCCATAAAGAAGAGAGAACTGGCAGGGAGAATATGCTCCATGGTGAAGACACCAAAAGCTTTGTAGCAAAGCACAGTGGGATATCTCCCTTCTGACCATCTGCTTACTTGCATGTGTGACCTGCGAAGCTCACGCCTTCGTCGGGATTTGGCCGTGTTAGAATATTTTCATTCCGCCTCCTTTCGATCTGGCCATGGTCAGAGGCCGATCAATTTAATACTCCATTTGTTGTCTGACAATGTCAGAAGAACTTCAAGAGTTCACTTGATCTGCATTCTGCAATATCAGAACCAATATCGTCGTCAATGCTAGCGCCAGCAACGACATGTTTCGGTGTTCCTTCGGAAGGAGTGATGGTGACAAAGATGACGCCGCTGGACAAGGCTGAAGCGAAACGGGATCTTCTCCTTGCACGCGACTGCTGATCGCGCCGTCTATTCCCAAGCAGGACCATCACAACACACGACACACCAGCTTCATCGACTGGTTCTATGGTCCCGTCCAGCGTCGTGCCTCCACTCTAAACCAATCTGGGCTTTGTGTACGGATCCCCCGCTAGCCTTTAGCGGTAGAGAGGAAAAGTCGAAAGCTCATCCCGGTCGCTAGCCATGTCCGTCAAGATTGAAGAGCCTGGTGCTCTCAAGAAGATAGAGGAAATCGTCTCCTCCGAATCCGAATCCGATGGCCCGGAGGACTCTGCATCCATGACTAGCAATGCATCGACTTCGACGCACACGCTGGAGGAGGCCATCAATTCAGCCAACACGATGCGTCTCAGGACGGTCCTCCTCCAGATGTGCCATGAGAACGCCGTGTGCAGATACCTAGCCGGCAAGGCGCTCATGGTGCCGGCGCAAAACGCCGAACCAGACCCGAAAACGGGCATGAAACGCCTCCGCAAGGTGTACGAGATGTGCTGCCAGTACAGCAAGGAGTACCAGGTCGAGAGGAACGAGAAGGTCAGGGACTCTGCGCGTATCATTCTGGTAAGTAACCAGCCCTTCCCTTCCTTCTGTCCCTCAGTTCTTCCTTTGCCCACCAGAAACTTGAAGTTCAAGACAAACACCCGGTGCAAAGTTGGCGTCCAAGTGTTGTTAGTGTTATTATTACGATTCTCATGGGCTATATTAACCTGGGAGAAAAATTAACAAACTGGCGCAGGGTACAAGGAGGTGGATTGCAACTTGCACTTCTGGGATGACCACGACCCGGACTGTCATGGTGATCCAGGCTCCTTTGTCGACGACCCTGATTACCAGGAGGGGTTCATCTGGGACTGTTGCGACGAAGACGGCAATGCTGAGGGATGTGAGACGTCACGGCACCGGCCGACGAGGAGTGTCCGGGCGAAGGATTGAGTGCGATGATCCTCTGCATATGAGTGTTTAGGATGGCCCCTACCCTTGCCTTGACTTGCCTTGACCCACCCTGTTTTGGCAGAGGTTGGTCCGTCGATCCTGAACCTCTGAAAAGAAAGACGCTCGAGTGGCGGATGCGACCTATGTAGCTTGAGTCTCCATTGTCAAAGTCGAGCGAATGTTAGTTCCGGGTGGTAGAGATTGCGCCAGCAGGCTCCAGGCGTTCCAGAGCGCTCGACCAAAGTAATTCGAGTTCCCCTGGTATAACTCGCAAGCAGGTGCGAAACCCTCATGGGTGGTCGCCCACAGTACCTCAGAGAGACGTCTAGTATATGTAACACGCGAGCAGAAATCTTCGATGCCTTGGAGGGCCCTGGCTGTCTACCACGTTGCTGTTTTTGGGGAGGGGGGGGGGCCGGCGTCAAGCATCTTCTTGACCGGGAAAACTGGTCGATACTTACTGGGTGGGAATCGGGTCCAGACCCGGCGAGTTCGGTATTTCTTCGAAGCAAGCACAAGGGCCACCGTTTTCTTTTCCGCGGAGATCGAAGAGAAAAATGCAACGTCGTGGATTCTGGGGATTCGTAGGCGGCAGGGCGTGGCCTCTGTTAGTAGCAAGGACAGAAGAGAAGATCAACCGGACTACATGAGCCAGCCCTGCCCTCGACGGTCGTATGTTTGGCCACCAAGGTCCCAATAAGCGGACCAATAGATCGTTTGACACGACATTGTAGGTAGGCGTCATGCTGGTTGTGCACATGGCTGATTGCTTGCCTAGTTAGAGCGGATGTGGTATGTAGTCCTCCGGTCTAATCAAAACGTCGAGTTCTTTTCGGAGTATTGCCTTTTCCTTCCAAGCGTGGCCGGCTTCCAAAGCCTGAAAGTGGGAATTGTTCATGACTCAAAGCAGCCGAACGAGGTGGCAGAGAGTCAAATACAGGGCGGGAGGCGGGATATCGCGGAGAAACGAACGAGAGTTTGTTACTAAGATTTTATCATGGTGTTGAAGACTCGTGCGTCGTTGTAACGCCATCATGTCCGGATGGCTGTGAACAAGACACACCGCTGGCGAACGAGTATAAAATCTACCTGAGGGCATGTCACGCTGTCCTCGAAGCGACCCTGATTCCAAGGCAGCCCACTGTTCTAGACTGTCTTACTACACGCGGCCCGATTCAGCCTGTTCCCCCCCAAATCCACCCCCCTGAAACTATACAGCACAGCCTTGTCATCTGCGCAATTTACCCGATAATCCACACTGGCCTGCTTCAACCGTCAAGATCTTGCCAGCAACAATGTCTGACAGCGACAAGACCTATGGTTTCACGGCCCTTCCGGCCGATCAATCGCAAGACAAGCCTATAACAGCTAACCCGGAGGCTATGGCTATCTCATCACTTCAGCCTCCAAACACGGCGCTTGCTACACGCGTTGACGGGTACGTCAAGTCTAAGCTCGATGCTGACACCTACCGCCACAGTCTGCGCGTGTACAGCTACGGCTGCGCCATAGCAAGGCAGTGTTTTCCGGAGTTTGAGCTCACGCCAGGCTCCAAGCTGGACGAAACTTGGTTCTTGACCGCCATGCTGCATGATATCGGCACCTGCGACGAGTTCATGACGAGTACTCGCCTCAGTTACGAGTTCTTCGCCGGCATCCATGCTTTGGATCTCCTGCAGAATCCAAAGGTATCGGGAGGAGACGGTGTTGCCCCTCGAGAACAGGCGGAAAGTGTTGCGGAGGCTATCATCAGACACCAGGACGTTCAGGAAAAAGGGAATGTGACCCTGGTTACCAGATTGATCCACTGGGGAACACTGCTGGACAACATTGGGGCCGTGAAGGAGTTGGTACACCCAGACACCATCGAGAACGTGGTACGGGAGTACCCTCGCCCAGGGTGGAGTGGGTGCTTCAAGAGAACGGTAGAGAAGGAAAAGAAGTACAAGCCGTATGCCATGGTTAGCCGCATTGAAGGATTTGAAGAGCTAATTGCCAGAAATGGAGCTCCTGGCGGGCTAGTGGCCAAATATGACTAAACCTATGGTATCTGAACATGACTATGCGAGGTGGCTTTGACGAGACCATATCAAATGATGGAGATATTTGGAAAATGTCGCATTCTTCGATCTCTTCCGGCCGTGAGTCAAGTTCGACGAAACGTGGAAGGTCGTGATGGGTAAAAGAAGGGACAAAGTGATGCCTGACCACCAGAGTCCGTCAAGTGCACCCAGCCAATCGCTATATCAGTGTGTCGGCGAGTCAAGAAGGCGACAGGATCAGAGTTGACTTTGCTTCCCCGACAACATCCATTTCCCGCCGGGTGCCTTACTTTTGAATTCACCTGTACGGACCGAGTTTGTCTGCTCCAGACATGAGGCGATACTCCATCAAAGGGGATAGAGGAAGATCAAGGCGTGAGAACTAGATTGGGCATTTCCAGGTCCCATCATCGCCCAGCTTGATAGCGCTTTCTTGGATGTTGAAGGCCAAGCCCAGTAGTTTCATCAACAATCCTTTGCCAATTCTGGCGCAAATTTCGGGACGGCGAGTGGTTTCTTAGGAAGAGCCACGTGTGAGGCCTTGCGAGGAAGAATGGCCACCGAGAAGAAGAAAAGAAGAAGAGGATATGCAACGAGTCGGCGTTATTTGGCATGCATCTCGCATTGCTCTTGCGTTAAAAAGGGAAATATCAGAACCCTGCCACTTCACCTCAGCCACTCTTTGTTGCTCCGTCTGTACCTAATACTCCATAGTATGCGCACCCTCGCGCAGCGCGTATACCCAAATCATCCTTTATATGGGGGTTGCGTGAGCAGTGGAGGCTAGTGAGGCGAACCAAATTTGACGGGAAGGTGATAGGGAGATCAAATAAGGAGGATTTTCATCGTCCGCCAGGCGTAGCCTGTAGTCTCGTTCCCCGAAAGCAATACCAACTTCCTTAGGCCGAGCTGAGGCGACCAGGGGGGCTGCCTGATGGAGAAGTCTTAGCACAGTGGCAGTGCAAAGCCTCGACCACCCATTCCCAGATGCGATTGGAGAATACCCTCCTACCTGCAGAGGGCGCGAGAGGAAGCGGGGACAGAGATGAGGGTTTTTTCGATCCATGGTTGCAGCACGTCAGATGCATTTGCCGCCGACAGGCGCTGTTGAGGCAGGGAGAAGAAGTGATATCACACTCAGTGACGGGTGTGAGGGAGCAATGTTGAAGGAAGCGGTGCTTGACTCCACTGAATCTGGATGTACCGTATGTAATCAGGTACCTGACAGCGATGACAGCGGTGACAGCGGTGACAGTGGTCGGTCTCTGAATCTCCGGTGAGAGCAGAGGGATTGAGCAAGACGGAGCCACTTGAAGCCCAAGGATTTTCGCCTGCAAGAAGCTTGGCGCCCTCGCGGTAGCGTCCAGGCTGGGCAGGTGGCAGGATGCCCGCATTTTAGGGCCCGGGTTAGTGGTGGGCTTGGTGGTTTAGGGGCCTCGGGGCCTTGTTTAAGTGGCCTAGTGGCCTAGTGGCCTAGTGGCCTGGCTCCGACCTGGGGCCTGGGCCGTTGTCAAGATTCCATCACTGAATCTCCATCCAGACATGGTGATCCCGGAGTGTTTGTCCACAACCTTCACGTATTTTTCCCAGTTCATTCATGGTCCTGCTGCTGTCTTCACACCCTTTCCTTTGTACATACTCGCCTTCTTAACGTTGCCCGCTTTCTTCTCTTTCATCCTCCCGTTTTCTTCTATGGACCTTCCTGTTTGATCGTGAGCCTGTGAGCCTGATCCGCCCACCCTCCCCTTGTTGCCCCCTTCGACTGCCAACCTGTACATTATCCCGCATCCGCCTCAGCCTACCCATGGTAGCCTCTCTTCCCTAGCCAGCGCGGAAGCTACGAACCTCTCTTTCTCGGACGGGTCGGACTGGAGCATTATTTGCGGCATTGGGACTTGAGAAGTCCGTGGTTTGAGCGTGACTTTTGTTAATTCACCAATCTGTACGTGCATTGCCTTGCCACCTCACGTCTGTCTCTTTTTCCATGGACCCATTCTCACTGTTTCGTGATACCCAGTTCATCTTCAGATAATTCCAGCAGCCTACATAATATCGTCATCTATTTCTTCTGCAGGTCGGACTACTTTGCCGGTTCACAACTTGGCGCCGCTTCTGGAATTGGCCGCGTTCGAAACTCGCGGCTCCTAAAAGACACGGACGAGCTGGGCAGATTGCATGCATACTCCTCCAAAGTGGCTCATATACCTCAAGTTCTACCATGTCTTCACCTGATGGGCAAGACCCAGAATCGCCACAAGCGGTCCAGCAGCGACCCCGTGCTCCAACAATTAGTATAGATGATTCTGCCGTCAATCCATCCCCCTCCGAGGAACCTCCCAGTGCAGTTTCCGATAGACCTAGTCCTTTACCCCGAATACAAACGTCTGGACTTGATTCTGGACCGACGCTATCCTCCCCGTTGTCGGTATCCCCAACCGATGTTCGACCATCCTCTGACACGCGCGAGTCGCGCCCAACCTCTCCTCATAATGTTTCCTCTCCCAGAGCCCAGTTTCTCGATGGTTCTGCCCACAACTTTCTTGCTGTCCCCGGCTCAAGGGCGAGGGCGACATCAATGGAGTCTCAAAATTCAGCGTCGACTTCCGAATTCGGGGGAGATACACAGATCGCTTCGACGACTTCCGGAACAGACGATTTACGCAAGAATTCGTTGGCCAATAACGATGATGTGATGAACGATGAAGATGCGCTGCGGCCTGATCCCGGGACGGAGGCGGATTTTGTGGTGGAAGACAACAAGTTCGCGTTTAGCCCCGGACAGCTGAATAAAATGATCAACCCTAAAAACCTAGCAGCGTTTCACGCTCTCGGAGGCCTGAGAGGTCTGGAGAAGGGTCTGCGGACTGACCGCAACAGCGGGCTCAGTGTAGACGAAGTTGGTTTGAGTGGCACCGTCGACTTTCGGGAGGCGGTTCAGGCAGGCGCCGAGGCCGAGCAACGCTACGGCACTGTGAAGAGGACAACTACCTCCAACTCGATAACAGCACCAGCCAAGATTTCTGAAAATTCTTTTGCGGATCGTAAGCGCATTTTCAAGGACAACCGGCTTCCGGAAAAGAAGGCCAAAACTTTCTGGCAGCTCGCCTGGATTGCCTACAACGATAAAGTGCTGATTCTACTTTCTGTCGCTGCTGTCATCTCACTGGCGCTTGGTATTTACCAGACTGTCAATCCTGCGCCTTCTGAGAAGCACGAAGCTAGGGTCGAATGGGTCGAAGGCGTGGCAATCATGGTCGCCATTTTCGTCGTAACTTTCGTGGGCGCACTGAACGACTATCAAAAGGAGCGTCAATTCATCAAACTGAACCGCAAAAAGGAAGAACGGTTCGTGAAAGTCATTCGATCCGGGAAGTCTCAGGAAATTTCAGTTTATGATGTGTTGGTTGGAGATGTGATGCATCTCGAGCCAGGCGACCTGATCCCGGTGGACGGTGTCTTTATCGAGGGTCACAACGTGCGATGCGATGAGTCCTCGGCGACCGGCGAATCCGACATTATCCGCAAAACGCCAGCGGACGAGGTCTATCACGCGATCGAGACCCATCAGAATTTGAAGAAGATGGACCCGTTCATTCTATCCGGTGGTAAGGTCGCCGAGGGCGTCGGCACGTTCCTCGTCACTGCAACCGGTGTCAATTCCAGCTATGGCAAGACGTTGATGTCGCTACAGGACGAGACTCAGACAACGCCTCTCCAAATGAAACTCAATGTTCTCGCCGAGTACATTGCAAAGCTTGGTTTGGCTGCCGGTCTCTTGCTCTTTGTGGTGCTTTTTATCAAGTTTCTGGCAGAACTCAAAAATATCCAAGGAGGTGCGCAGAGCAAAGGCCAACGGTTCCTTCAAATCTTCATCGTTGCAGTCACCATCATTGTGGTTGCGGTGCCAGAAGGTTTGCCTTTGGCTGTCACACTCGCCCTTGCATTTGCGACGACGAGGATGCTAAAGGACAACAACTTGGTGAGACTCCTGCGAGCTTGCGAGACTATGGGCAATGCTACTACTGTGTGCTCCGACAAGACTGGAACATTGACACAAAATAAAATGACGGTTGTCGCCGGTACATTGTCTACCGCTTCTAGATTCGGCGATAAACAACAGCCTGTCAACTTTACGACTGAGAGTGATACAAAGGTCTCAGGTCCCATTGTGGCTGCTAATGATGTCTCCTCGACCGAGTTCTTCGCGACACTCTCTCCGGACACTAAGTCACTCCTCAAGGATTCGATTATCCTCAACACTACCGCGTTTGAGGGTGAAGAAGAAGGCAAGAAGGTGTTTATCGGATCCAAGACCGAAACAGCTCTGCTTACATTCATTGTCGATCATCTTCCAGTCGAATCAATCGGTGAGGAACGAGCAAACGCTGATGTTATTCAAATGGTTCCCTTCGACTCTGGCCGCAAATGTATGGCTGTCGTCATCAAACTACCAAATGGCAAATATCGTATGATGGTGAAAGGAGCTTCTGAAATCCTCATATCTAAATGCACTAGAATCGTCAGCGATCCGACAAAGGAGCTGGTGGATACGCCGATAACCTCGGATCAAATCGAAACATTGAACGGCATAGTCAGCAATTATGCGTCACGATCTCTGCGTACCATTGCTCTTCTGTATCGGGATTTCAATGAGTGGCCACCGCGGGGAGCCGCTCTTGCGGACGATAAGAAACAGGCAGATTTTGATAAAGTCTTCAAAGACATGGTCTTCCTGGGGGTTGTTGGTATCCAGGACCCTCTTCGCCCGGGTGTTGAAAGGGCTGTTCGCGACTGTCAAGTTGCCGGTGTGTTTGTACGCATGGTGACGGGTGATAACATTATGACCGCCAAGGCGATTGCGACTGAATGTGGTATCTTTACACCTGGCGGTATTGCTATGGAAGGACCTGTTTTTCGAAAACTGAGCTCAAAGCAGCTGACACAGGTGATTCCACGCCTGCAAGTACTCGCCAGGTCGAGTCCCGACGATAAGAAGCTGCTTGTGAGCCATCTTAAGAAGCTCGGAGAAACCGTGGCTGTCACTGGTGATGGTACCAATGATGCACCCGCGCTCAAGGCTGCAGATGTTGGCTTCTCGATGGGTATCGCAGGAACCGAGGTCGCCAAGGAAGCGTCGGCTATCATCCTCATGGACGATAACTTTGCGTCAATCGTCAAAGCCATTTCCTGGGGCAGAACTGTCAACGATGCTGTCAAGAAATTTCTTCAGGTGAGCCTCCGCTGTCGCACTCGGTCACTAACCTCAGGCTGACAAGGGCACAGTTCCAAATTACGGTGAACATCACCGCAGTCTTTCTCACGTTCATTTCTGCGGTTGCCAATGATGACGAGAGCTCTGTGCTGACGGCCGTCCAACTTCTGTGGGTTAACTTGATTATGGACACTTTCGCAGCTCTTGCCCTTGCCACGGATCCCCCTTCGCCTTCCGTGTTAAAACGACGGCCGGAACCGAAATCGGCACCATTGATTACTGTCACTATGTGGAAGATGATCATCGGGCAGTCAATCTATCAGCTGGTCGTGACATTGGTCTTGTACTTTGCTGGAAACAGTATCCTGTCCTATCAAACACAACATGAAAAGGACCGACTTCAGAGCACTATCTTCAATACGTTTGTATGGATGCAGATTTTCAACCAGTACAAGTGAGTAGATTTATTTCCGGCCCTATTAGATGAGTGGCAGACGCTAACGATCTTCAGCTCGCGGCGACTGGATAACAAGTTCAATATTTTCGAAGGAATCCTTCGCAATTACTGGTTCATTGGGATTCAGTTCATCATCATTGGAGGCCAGTGCTTGATCATGTTTGTCGGTGGACAGGCATTCTCAATCAATCGAATCAACGGGCCACAATGGGGATACTCCATTGTTCTGGGTGCACTTTCCATGCCGGTGGCAGTCATTATCCGATTAATACCTGACGAACTGTTTGCGAGACTGATGCCCAATCTGCCACGGAGAAAGAAACGGGGTCCAGAATTTGTGCTCGAAGATGACGAAAAGGTGCAATGGAACCCAGCGTTGGAAGAGATTCGAGAAGAGCTGCAATTTTTGAAGAGAATCCGTGGGGGCCGGATATCAGAGCTGGCTTACAAATTGCAGCATCCACGAGACACGTTTATGCCGCGGTCACGCAGCCCGTCTCGTTCACGATCTAACAGTGAACTACCGCAGACACCAGAAGGAGATGTCGTAGTAGAGACAATGACGGGGTCCCCAATCACACTTACCCCGGAAAGAGCAAGACGACGGGCAAGATCGAGTTCGAACTCAGTCTTCGGACCTGCCACGGCAATGGCTGGTATCATCGCAGGAAGCGTCGCTGGGGGATGGTCGCCGATTGAGAGGCGACCTGAAGAACTCGAGACGGTGCGCTTCACCCGAGCTCGATCTCATTCCGGCGTTGAAGGGACAAGCGGGATGGAAATCCATCCGGCAACGCCAGCAGACGACCCTGTTTTTGCCCGCTCGGGGCCCAGGGCTGGCATACCTCCCAGCCAAGACCCTGATTTGGCTCCGCACTTCGAATATGCACCGCCGCATAGCCCTTCCTCGCGGTCGAAAGGCTCACACTCGCGACATGGGTCTTCTGCGTGAAATGTGGACCAATGCCTGTAGTTGTTTACCCCCCAGGGAGGATTCTACTTCGGCTAAAGACGCCACGTATCGAGGATCGAGCCACCACCAAGTGACAGGGAAGAGGGCACCTGACAGCTATCTATCTGCTTGGATGAATCCACCCCCCATGTTCAGAACATCGAACCGGAGATTGCAAATGTAAACAAGACCACGGATCGCCAGAGCGGAAAGTTGGGTCTGCATTACAGCGAACTCGGCGACTCCGACGAAGTTGCAGCGATTACAAGGCTGAGCGGGAAAAGGAGGCCGCAAAATCTCTGCACTGTCGCATGTTCCGGATCTGACCGGACGGCCGTAAATTTGGGTTGAGGAATAGATAATTCAGGACTGGGATAGTGGGAACAAAAGGAAATACGGGATACGAGAGCCTCGATGAAGGCGAGCTGAGATCAAGGATAACCTGCAGAGACAGAGGACTGATCCGGCCCCTGTACAACACACACGTAGGACATGGCACTTCTCACCGCATGTCGTCTTATCAATACAATCATGGGATATGACGCGAATCAACAGTGCAGCATGAGCACGCAGACCCTCCTTCACCAAGCCCTCCTTGGCACTCGCATGTGCAAGGTACTGGGACTTGGAAAAGAATAAAAAAAGGGGGTTCTGAGGAAGACTAATCGTCCGTCTTTGCCCCCGAGGCTGGTCCGTGAGGCTGTGAGCCGAGGCAAAATCAGCAACATCCCAGGCAGCATTTGTTTCCCAAGTCGCTTCTGTCGCCGTTGCCAATCGAACCAGGCATTTTTGTCCCCAAAACTCCACCTGCGCTTCCATCATTATCTCATCGCCCTCGCTTCGTCGTATTCGGCCGGTCACTGGCGGGCCGTTAATCGCCTTTTTCTTTCTCCTGGATGTCGGGCAGTTGGGGATCAATGGCTCCAGGGCGGTCTGCATTAAATAAAATCGGGCTTTGCGTCCCTCGCTCAACGTCTTTCCTCAACCCGCGACCGACCAGGAAAGGCTTGTCCACCTGCCCATCTTGTTCGTCTTTTGCACACACGCGCTTCCTGCCGTCACTCGCTCATAGGCCGATCCATATTGCCACTGGTTCTTCCTCATCGGCGGCGTCAGCGACCACTCGAGGAAAGGCTTTTCGACATCCAAGTCTGATAAAGGGAACTGCCTGGAGTCCGTATTCTACAGGTGAGTCACGCCAGGCCCTGTGTCGACTGTGACGGACCTCTGACACGGACGCTGCAGTTGTCGTGCACAACAAAGGACAAGCGCGCGTCCGGCGGACCATCAGCTTCCTCCTCATCAGCACCGTCTCCTTCGCGGTCGGGACTTATTTTGCTGTCACCTACGCCTCCCCCCTCCCCACGGCCCTAATCATGGGTTCCATGCCCTCGGACGTCGAAACCCTCTCCCTCTACACCCCCGACAATGACTTTGCGCGCGAAGTCGACGATCACATCAAGAACTGTGCCCTAGCGCAATCCTTGCGGGCTAATCCAGATTTTGTCGAGTCGAGACCCCATCTCAAGATTCCCGAAGAGATGAGACAACACAACCTGACCGCGGGGACGTTGTCGGGGCCAGGAATGATTGCGGTGCCGCCATACTACTTCAACGAGAAGGGCGGGAAGTCCATGGTTCAGATCTTCTACGTCGGAACTGATGTTTCAGGGCATCCGGGGATCGTGCACGGAGGGTTTTTGGCCACCATGTTGGACGAGGGACTTGCGCGGTGTGCATTCCCCGCCATGCCGAATAAGGTCGGGGTGACGGCCAATTTGAACATCAACTATCTCAAGCCGACTATGGCGGGACAATTCCTGGTGTTGAGAGCCACGACCACAAGAGTCGAAGGCCGGAAAGCGTGGGCGGAAGGATGGATTGAGAGTCTAGAAGTGGCCGAGGGAGAGGAACCGGTCAAGTTGGTCGAGGCTACGGCGTTGTTTGTTGAACCCAAGCATGCAAAGGTACGTTCGTCTTGATATACACGTGATCCTTGACCGGTGGAGGGCTGAGACTGACGATCCCATCCTACAGGTATTGAAATCTCTTTACAGGGTGACACCAAACTGAGAGGCCGACCCTGCCCGAAATCGTTTCTTTGATGTTTCAAGACCTCGGGGTCTTCAAGACGCTTCCAAGAGGGTCACAAAGCGCGGATAGAATTTGCAGCGTGGAGTACATCGCGGGGAAATTTGGTCTGGCTGGAGGGGGGATGGTAGATCTTGGGAATATATTCAGTCAATGAGAGCGATTTCGAACAGGTGTGCAAGATGGCTGGCGGCTTGCCAACAAGGCTGCGGGCGAATTGGCACATTTATAGATGTTTGTTTTGGCCCCTTGATACGGATAGAGGGGTAATATATACTGTGTAAAGGTTATGTACTGGGTTGGAACAACGAAAAATCAGACAGATTGGCTATCGCATTTACTAGCCGCAAACATTTCCGCCGTCCATCCAATACTGTATGAGCACTGTCGTGCTTGTGCTGTCAAATGTCGCAAAGGGCCATCGAGATCCCACATGCTTACTGGGGAATCCTTCCGCCGGCGGAATTGGAACACGCTCAGGGAAACGCGAGTTGGGACGGATTCTGCTTCTCAGTTGCCGTTTTAAGGCCAAGGCAAACAACCTAGGTTCCAGTGAGATTCTCCTACTCGTCCACGTCCGATATATCCCCAGGACGAAACGCATCTAGACTCCACCGATGGGGGAAATGGCAGATGGCATACATATCGGTGGCATGACGATCCGCCGAAGTCGTATGATGGATGGGATACATAGTGATTACCCCAATGCCCGCCTTTATGTGGACATTCCTTCCCTCCTCGCGGCTGACTGCCATGTTTCATGATGCCATATGACCTCTGCTGCTGAGAAGCTTTCCGTGGTGTTTCTGGTGGCTATTTTTCCTGCCCTGGTTCCCTGCCCTGGTTTCCTCCCTGTTGGTCCGGAAGGTTCGATCGCCATGGGGGCTCTGGGGCTCGTCCGGAACAAATGATGTTCCAGGCAAAAGGCTTCGTTGCAGAATCGATGACCAGGGCAGGTGTGTTCCCCTTGTACCTCGTAGTGCCGAGGAAGGTGTGGTGATGCTGGTACGCGGCAAGGTGGGGCCTTCGCTACACCTTTCCCGAACTGCACAAATCCCTTCGCTCGCACTAGCCTCATATGGAAAAATGGAGGAAGCTCACCACCACATGCCAATCATCACCGACCAACCCGGGACGAGATAATAAATCCCTGGGTGTCTAGACGCCGATTTCCGGCGGGGGAGCTTATGAGCTAGGCTATTTTTGGGATACGGATAGCGAGGGGGGAAGGTACCTGGTATTTGGTTGTTTTGAGGGGCAATTGCGAAGTGGCTCCTTTCACTTTGCTCTCTTTATAAGACGCGGGGTAGTTCTGTCCCTTCCCGCCATGTCTTTTGCTCTTCTCTCACCTTCACGCACTTTGTTTCGACTGTCCTTCTTCCTCACCAGACTGACAGGATCCACCGCAACCATGGCTTCAGCTAAATGCCCCATGAGAGAGTCCAATGTCGGCGGCGGCGGCACTCGCAACCGCGACTGGTGGCCCAATGACCTGAGACTCAACATCCTCCGCCAGCACACTGCTGTCTCCAACCCCATGGACAAGGACTTCAACTATGCACAAGCCTTCAAGAGCTTGGACTATGAAGCAGTCAAGAAGGATCTCCACGCCCTGATGACCGACTCTCAGGACTGGTGGCCGGCAGACTTTGGTCACTACGGCGGTCTCTTCATTCGAATGGCCTGGCACAGTGCCGGTACCTACCGTGTTGCCGATGGCCGCGGAGGTGGTGGTCAAGGTCAACAGCGCTTTGCCCCCCTCAATAGCTGGCCCGACAATGTCAGCTTGGACAAGGCACGCCGCTTGCTTTGGCCCATCAAACAGAAGTACGGTAACAAGATCTCCTGGGCCGACCTGATGCTCCTCACTGGCAATGTCGCCCTCGAATCCATGGGTTGCAAGACCTTTGGCTTTGCTGGTGGCCGCCCGGACACGTGGGAGGCTGATGAGTCCGCCTACTGGGGTGGTGAGACCACCTGGCTAGGCAATGACATTCGCTACGGCCAAGGCCATACCGGGATTGAGGGCGAGGGCGTCGTCGATTCTGATGAACATAAAAAAGAACACAAGGACATCCATACCCGTGATTTGGAGAATCCGCTCGCAGCCTCACATATGGGCTTGATCTATGTCAACCCAGAAGGCCCGGATGGCATTCCCGACCCTGTCGCTGCCGCCAGAGACATCCGCACCACCTTTGGCCGCATGGCGATGAACGATGAGGAAACCGTTGCCCTGATTGCTGGTGGCCACTCCTTCGGCAAGACCCACGGCGCCGCTCCTTCCGAGAACGTCGGCAAGGAGCCAGAGGACGCTCCCCTGGAGCAAATGGGACTGGGATGGGCCAACAAATATGGTTCCGGCAAGGGTCCTGACACCATTACCAGCGGTATCGAAGTCACCTGGACCGGGACCCCGACCAAGTGGAGCAACAACTTCCTTACTTATCTCTTCAAATATGAATGGGAGCTCACCAAGAGTCCCGCTGGCGCCAACCAGTGGGTTGCAAAGACAGATGACTTGATCATTCCAGACGCGTATGACGCCAACAAGAAGCACAGGCCAACCATGTTGACAACCGACCTTTCCCTCCGTTTTGACCCAGCATATGAGAAGATCTCGCGTCGTTTCCTCGAGAACCCGGATCAACTTCAAGACGCCTTCTCCCGTGCCTGGTTCAAGCTCTTGCACCGTGATATGGGTCCACGGTCCCGCTGGCTCGGTCCCGAGATCCCGTCCGAGGTCCTCATTTGGGAAGACCCTCTCCCACCCGCCAACCATCCCATCATCGATGAATCGGACATTACCAGCCTGAAACAAAAGATTCTGGCCACCGGTATTAAGCCTGCCGAGCTGATCACTACTGCCTGGGCATCGGCTTCAACCTTCCGCGGTAGCGATAAGCGTGGCGGCGCCAATGGTGCTCGCATTCGTCTCGCTCCCCAGAACAAGTGGAAAGCAAACAACCCCCAGACGCTGAGCCAAGTTCTGGGCGCTTTGGAGAAGGTGCAACAGGAATTCAACAGCTCTGCAAGTGGTGGCAAGAAGGTGTCGCTAGCCGATCTCATCGTCCTGGCAGGTTGCGCGGCCGTTGAGAAAGCCGCTGGTGTCCCTGTTCCCTTCACTCCTGGCCGCACAGATGCTACCCAAGAGCAAACCGATGTCCAATCTTTCGAACACCTTGAGCCTTTGGTTGATGGATTCCGCAACTATGGCAAGGGAACATCCCGTGCCCGAACTGAGCACTTCCTCATCGACAAGGCACAACTGCTGAACCTTTCTGCTCCCGAAATGACAGTGCTGGTTGGCGGCCTTCGTGCTCTCAATGCCAACTGGGATGGGTCTTCGTACGGTGTCTTTACCAAGCGCCCCGGTCAATTGACCCCCGACTTCTTCGTCAACCTCCTCGACATGGGCACCGCCTGGAAGGTGGCCAGTAACGACGAGGAACTCTATGAGGGCTTCGACCGCAAGACCGGCGAGAAGAAGTGGACTGGTACCCGCAGTGATCTTGTCTTCGGTTCACATGCTGAGTTGCGTGCGATTAGCGAGGTGTATGCCAGCGCTGGCAACGAGGAGAAATTTGTCAGGGACTTTGTCGCAGCTTGGAATAAGGTGATGAACCTGGACCGCTTTGATGTCGCATCCCTCCAGGATCCTGCAAAAGCGCGTCTATAAGCGAGAATGGTTTTAGGTCAAAGGAGATGGGGGCTGTTGCAAATAGCGAGGAGAAGTTGTCCCTCTATCATGTGGCTCGAATTTGGGCAGTCGACCAGTTCGATGGCTTAGCAAGCTCAATGGACTGCAACCGCATGACGTAGCAATCAAAATGTACTGGTTCAAAAATATATCTGGGGAAGAACAGTGTAGAGGAGTTAATAATACAGAAGGGACTGCCAAAAATGCCACCGAAATGGGCATGACGCCCCTCGCATTGGGAGCTTCCCAAACACCAATCACGCTCCGGTGGTGAGGGAGCAACGGAGCTCCATCTCTGCCTACCATCTAAATAGTTCACCCGGATCGCTGCGCGCACTCAATACCAGTGCTCGGTACGGTGTTTCCTCCTTCATGCATATGGTCCTTGGGAATTGAAGCTATTTCCTCTTATCTCTGCACACTATTCCTTCCGCCACCCCGTTGTGTGACCTCCCAGACGCAGGCTTTCCCGCAGGGTCAACATGTCCGCCAAATACCTCTTCGTCTCTGTTCCCGCCAGTATAAGCCCCTCGGGCCACAAGGACGACGCCATCGCCTCTGTCGAGAAAGCGGCAAACCCTGCGAACGGCGATGTCCTCCCCTTCTCCATCCCGGAGTTCAAGATCGGCACCCTTGATGCGCTGTTACAACAGTCCGACGAGTTGGCCAAGCTGGCGGCTCTGTGTCATGGAGTGGTGGGAAAAGTCGGGGATACCTTGAAGAATATATTGGACGGGGATGAGGACAAGATTGCGATGCATAAGAACGTCAATGATAGTATGTTTCATGCTCTTGGGGAATGCGCCCAGACGGGTGGTCGGGAATTTGGGTAAAGAGCTGACTCGACGCCGTGCTACTGCCCAGAACCACTCGAACAATACCTACGCAGCTTCTCCTGGAACAAAGTCAAATACCGCGCCGACCGACCGCTCTCGGAGCTGATTGATCTTCTACAAAAGGTATGTTACGGCAGGCTGAGAGCAGCTCCGAGAGGAGGGCCCACTGCCCATGCTGACTGCGGCCGACAGGAAGCCAATTCGATAGACAACGACGTCCGATCCAAATACAATCAATACAACTCCCTCCGCACCTCCCTCCAATCCCTGGTCCGGAAGCGGACAGGTAATCTCTCGACAAAATCCCTCGCCCCTCTCATTACCGACCCCAAAATCCTGGTCCAAAATCAACACTCCGAACACCTGGAAACTCACCTGATCGCCGTGCCCAATTCCAACGTCAAGGAATTCATGAGGACGTATGAAACGCTTGCACCGATGGTTGTTCCACGCTCGGCAACCTTTGTCGCGCAGGATCCGGAATACAGTTTGTACGCGGTGACGATGTTCAGGAAGCATGCCCAAGAGTTTGTGCACAAGGCAAGAGAGAGAAAGTGGGTACCTCGGGACTACAAGTACAAGGAGGGTGGGAAGGAAGAGGAGGAAAGGGAGCTGAAGAGGGTGGAAGCCGAGGAGAAAAGAGTCTGGGGAGAGACATTGAGGTTGGGCAGGACGGGCTGGAGTGAGGCGGTCATGTGTCTTGTGCATGTGGTTGTGTTGAGGGTGTTTGTCGAAACAGTCCTAAGGTACGGGTTGCCGCTGGATTATGTGGCCGTTTTGATCAAGGTATGTCCTGCTATTCTGCGTGCTACACTTTGCTCCCCTTTGGTTTGAGGCGGAAGTCCATACTAACCATGTTCAATCTCACAGACCGATTCGAAACGCGAAAAGAGGGTCCGGCAAGGGTTGGACAGCGAATTCTCGTACCTCGCGGGTAATGCCTTTGGGAGGGACAAGAAGGGCAGGCTGCTGAAGGACGAAGGGACGAGCCAGCAGGACATGGTGGCGGGCGGCGAACAGGGAGAGTATTCGGCTTACGTGTGTTATGATATCGACGTTGAGTGATAGGATGTTAGTGTTGGATGGGACGAAGTGTGAACGAGGGGCATGCCTCTGAATCAGGGAAGAAATCCAGTAACTCGTTCCCCGGGAAAGCCCCTGGAGAAGCAAGAGGTATAGAACCCTCAATTCACTCCGACATGGTTACGTAGGAAGCGAGCGCAAGCCTTCCAAGGGAAGGATTCCACGATTGATTGAGGCACAGGAGTACTGCGCAAATGCGAATCTCTCTCCCTCTTTTTTACAAAGAGGTATTCACATCTCCGGCATTGGATTACATTGCAAGAACGGAAGACTAAGCCCAAGCCTCCGCGACAGCCCGATACATCTCTTTGGCTCTTCGAGGCTTCGACTCTGGCTCTTTGACTCATGTGGACGACTTGGATAGAGTCCTTTCCTTCGTTCTTTTCTTCCATTCCTCCGTTGCTTGCTTTCCTTGCTTTTGGCTTCTCTTATTTTCGGAACCGCGCTGTTGACTGGCTGGCTGCCTGGCTGACCGAGCCACCCATTTCCGACGGACGTCCTAGCTACTATACAGGCCCGTGGCTCAAGTAATACCAGGCCATGTCTACAGGAATGAAACATGGAGGGTCTTCCCGAGGCTGTTCGGGCTTTGTTGCTTGAGGAGGACAGGCGCGGGTTCCCTTGCTCGGGGCTGCCGCTTCAAGAGTTAGATACCTCGTACATGAAGGGGTTCGTCGCAGAGCAGGATTTCTGTGCCCGTGCCTAATTAGGTGGGTTAGGGTCCTCGCTCGTCGATAGGCCGGTTAGTCTTTGTGAAGTACAGCGCATCTTTCATGATCTTGTATAGTGTCGGGGAGGAAATCGAGACATCAGGCTGTGTATCCCTTCCCAGTTTGCTTGTATTGTCTCTTTGGAAGTTGGATAATCGCGGGACGCTGCAAAGCCAAGGAGCGTTGAGGCATGGGCATAGGCTGGCTGCTATCGAGGCTGAATCCGGGTCAGATAGACGGGACGAAGATGGATAGTCCATCAAAACTTCCGCTGCCGCACCGGCGATGGATGGATCATGACGAGAAGTATACTAAGGATCTTTGCAGGACCGCATCTGAGTGTTGAGTTCATTGATGGCCAGATACAGCTCCTGTTCCTCCTGCTTATTGCGTCTGGCCTCCGCGCTGAGTCTCAGCAAGAGCCTGGGCTTGCCGTTGGCCATCATACAGCCCAGAGTAGTACCCGGCCCAATAATATGCCATCTTGATGTTTTCGAGCGTTTGCTCTTGTGAGGGATTGGTTGTGGTTGCTGGAACTGGCTAGAGGTTAGAAACGCCTTCAAGACGATAGGTTTATTGGGCCCGGAATAAGAGATATAGGGAAGTGCAAAGTGACAGAAAGAAGGAGATGGGGGCAATGTCGGGCTCAGTCTGCAGAACGGACAAGGGAAAGAAAGAGTTCGTACCTTGTCCATTTGCAATTTCGGTGGCCGGCGGCAAGTTGGGTCCTAAAGCCGGAGTAGTGGTGGTAGTTGTTGACGGTTGTCTCGGATTCTCTTGCTGTCCTTCTGGCTCGCCTACAATGGATTTGACTGGGGACACCGAGCATCAGTCACATGCCACCATCTCACAACTGACACAAAGGAGAAACACACATTGGTCCATGGCCTCCTTTCGTTTCTCCTCGAGACTGTGCTGATCTCCTGCTTGGGCACCGTCACTGTGATACGAGCTCACGCCAACCACGCCATTCGCCCCATCACTCTCAGCCCTGACATCAGGAACAGCATCGGTATTTTCATTCTCGGCGGCGGCCACAGCCTTGGCCGGTGCTTCTGGATGAACAGGTCGCCACTCCCCAGATACCTGTCTTCCAGAGTCGACGGCGGTGTCGCCATGTTCGTCCTGGTCGTCAAATTCGCCCATCTCGGCCTTGCGCAGGATCTCTTCCACGTCTTCGCCGCGTGCGTGAATGCTGTGGTAATACTACAGTGCCGCATTAGTGGGAGAATAGGTGGAAGGACACAGGATTTAGGGTATGACAAGGGACAGGCTGTCTCGCAAAAGACACTTTTCGAGTTTTTCATCGGATCCTTGAGTGGTAACTGAGCGCAAAAGGAACCGGTGCAGTGCTGAATGATGAAAACAACATACCTCGTACTCTGCGACAGCGTCGTTCCAAGACCGAATCAGCGCTGAATCGTCCCATATCTCGGCTTGGCTGAGCTCTCCCGCGGTCGAGTGTTTTGTCTTTTGCTTTTTCTTCTTCGGCATCGTCACGGCGAGCTGCGAAAAAGACAAAGGTATTACAACAGCAGTGATTTAATTAAGGCAAGGAGCACGGGGGTGCTGGGTTACAAGGGGGCATCCACACGTTTGTTGTCAAATAACGTGCGAGTTGGTTGTCTCGAGCCTCTTTAAGAAGTGCCCGACGCCAAGACGATGATGTGATTGGCCAGCCTTGTCATCACGAGGCTATTACGCATTTGTCGAGGCGATCTTCCGTTCAATGATCGTGAGAGTGCCGGTCAAACGCGTGTATGAGGAGCGTGCTTTAGAGGTATGTCCCTGTGGAGCTTTGCGAGAAATATGGTTACATCCTTATCCTGAAAGGATCAAGATGCATCTTCTGCCACTTCAAGGTAGGTCAACCAGAAAAATAAAAGAAGCCACCGAGGCTCAAGAGTGTCCTGCTTTACTAATCCGAAGACTTTTGTGCTAGGAGCAATGTCGCGTTTGAGCCCCAGCTGCTGGCCCTCGCAAGTCAGGATATATCATGCAACGACTCTCCGCACTCTATCTGGCTCGGAATGCCTTTTTTACGGTTAACAGAAATATATATAGAGCAGTCTCCCTGAGTCTGCCGATCAGGATGGCAGTCTCGAGAAATTGGGGCCAGATCGCGTGACCAAAGTGGCTACTGAAGTAAGTGGCTTGCTGGTGGGGGATCCTTCTAACCATGATACCTTTAGGCTGTCCCGGCCCCGGAAGGAGGTAAGTGGCTGCTGTGATAAGAAGAGACGGATCTCTCCCAAAGACGCTGACGGGTGCGGCATTCTCATCTGACCTGTGAAATCACAAGATTGTGGGCTTGTGCATACAGTACGAACCCTTTGCATCAATTTGTGTCCGAGAATCGCTTGACAGGGCTGCGATTGACGTTCCTCCATCCTCGCTCACCATTGCGCGATTCCGGCTTCTTAACAAGGAAACTACACACGCTCCATTGCAATGGGAGCCTTTTCGACGTCGGATTCCGAGCGCTTTCCTAGCCGTGTGTGGACAATCTTCGACTCGGTCTATCTTTGGGCCCTTCTGATTCTCCTTGTTCCGTGCATTTTCATCGACATGCATATACCTCGTCGTTGGGGGCAAAAGGGACGGATGGTCAAAGAATCTCCATGACGGATCACCTTCAACAGCCGCCCAATCCGGATGCATCGACAAAGGGTCTAGTCTGGTTAGATGGAAGCCGGTGCGCGAGCTCACTTGCCAGTTGTCGGATACAACAACTCCAAGCATCTGGTTCTTCAAGCAGCCTAAGAAAGCTAGTCCTCTCGGTGGATTCGTCACGGTCTGTCCGCAAAGAAACTCGGAGAACGAAATGCGCTTACCAGGATGGCTTCCATCCTGCGAACACCCTGCCTGGCGGGGTCGAGGCGCTTTTATGCATTGCTTTGTCAAGCTTCGGGCCATACGCAAAAGTTGATGCCACTCAGGGTATCAGGGAATTCGCGGATCAAGAAAAGTTGGCTCAATAAGGCCCTTGACGCTGGACTCGGACAGCAAGCTGGCAACCTTACTACGGTCTTATGTCATATCGAGGCCGACTGGAAATTTAATCAGCTGGAGAGGAAGGCATGGAACGATGGTGCCGATAAGCGCATTGAGAGGCAAAATGTTCTATACAACCGGATGGACAGAAGGTTAGCCGCAAGCTGCCCTGTAAATGCCGTTCCCCGAACGGTTCGTTGACGAGCAATGTCGTGAGAAGGCTTAAAAAGATATTAACTAAATGGGGTATCTATATCCAAAGAAGTGAAAAATGAGCAAAACACTCGAATCGACAAGTCCAAGCTTCCTAGCTTTGTGTACATATGCCCAATACTCGTACAAGGGGGGTCAAGGACACCATCTTCAGCTCAGCTCAGCCTTGCGCGAAGAAGAATAAACAATGCAATCAAAAGAGGCTCAAATCTGAAAAAGTTCGGCCTCTTCGCTCGAAAATTGCCAATCAAAAGACAGGCACAAAGGCAAGTTGAAAATACAAGCCAGCGCGGTAGGAAGACATAGGTATCGAAGCGAGCGGTGATGCCGTTTGCTTCTAGTGTCGCTTCCTGCCACAACCCGAGTTGGATGACGAAAAGTTAGGGAACTCAGTTGCGGCCGGATGATGAGGATGTCCATTCCAGCAGACCTCCTCCCGGCTTCAACATCTGCAGTCTCCTGCTCTTTGTCGACCAATGCATACCATATTAAGCCCATAGGGTGATCATCCGCTTCAGAAGAGGCCTCCGAGGAAGCTCCTTCTCTTGCTGTCATTCCTTCCACCCAGTGCTGGACGTCCGTCCCAAGTTTTGACGGGCACCTCGTCGTAGCCATAGCCTCGACCATCAGATTGATCTCGGCGTCGACGTCGTTCTCTTCGTTCTCGCTCCTTGTCTCGCTCGTCACTACCGCCACTGGCTGACTTGCCCTCCACACGACGCGAGCTTTTCCTGCGAGCACGGTACTCCTCGATTTCTGCGTCCGTCATGCCGGCGTATTTGTCACGATGGCGACTGCTGCGCTTAGTTCCGGCGCCTTCGTCTGCCGCTCGTGGCTTTTCGCCGCTCGGATCGAGAATTGTACCCTCGACAGGTGGGAATTCTGGTGGTTCGTCGGCTTGAGAGTTGATCCATGAGCTGGTCTTGTTGGCTGGTGGTGCGGTTCCCTTACCGCTGCCGCTCCGAGATTCGTGATATTCTTCAACAAGGACGCTGGATCTCTTGCGGCTTGATCTCTCTCTGTCCTTGTCTTTGGACTTCCGGTCTTCCTTCCGCCTTCTTCTTTCGTCCTCTTCCGCATAATATGATCTGCGGCGATCATCTTTGGAAATCTCGCGATTTACCCCCTGCTCGGCCTCGAGCTGAGCACGAAGTCGCCTACGCTCTTCGCGCCGGCGTTCTGCTTCTGCGTTTGCCTCGGCCTCCTCTTGTGCAGCGCGTGCTTCTCTGGCAGCACGCCTAGCCCGCTTTTCTTCACGGCGCCTCTCTTCCTCCTCTTGTTCTCGCCTTTCACGCTCGCGTGCTCTGCGTTGGCGGGCTTCGAGATCCGCCTTTTCGCGTTCTCTTCTTTCCCTCCGTTTCAGCTCACGTTCGACGCGATCGGCTTCTTCCGCCTGATTACGCGCTTCGCGCTTGGCTCTTCTTTCAGCACGTCGAGCTTCCATATCGGCATCCGTTTCAACAGGCGCATCGGTGGTGAACTCATCCCCCTCCAAAGCCCGGGAATGCCTCTTTGACTTGTCTTTGGTTCTGATAGGTAGGTCTTCTGCATCAGTCAGGGTGTGGCTTCGATGTCGCTGTCTCTCTCCGTCGAAGGACCGAGAACTGCCAAAGAAGCTGCCAAAAAGTCCGGTTGATTTTCTGGGGGCAGTGTTGCTTCTCTTCAGCGCGGGTGGATGGTCCACAAACGCCATGTCGTCAGGCCCGCTTGTGACCAACGGGTCTGCATGTGTAGGGCTCTCGACCATCACAACGTCATCGTCCTGAGAAATGTTCTTGCTGTGGGACTTGATCTGCGTATAGGAAACCCGTCCGTCAGCATGAACTTCTTTATCGAAATCCGGCGACCAAGACGGGCGGAAAACGTGGCCCAGACGGTTTGAGGAGGTTTGTGCACCTACCTCTTTCTTTGATTTGGAAGACCTAGACTTTGAATTTTCCGGCACAGATACACTGTTTACAAGCGGAGTATTGTCATTGGTATGGATCATTACCATATCATCGTCGTCGATGGGATACGGATCTGGAACACCTGATGAAGCCGGATTAGCGACCATCTCCCCGGTCGGTGTCGCAATTGTCAGCTTACCTAAAGGCCTCCTCTTCACTGATGGACGGCGTTCGATCTTGCTGGACTTCATTCCCATGAGCTTAGCTGCCTTGTCGGTAACTTGGGGCTCCTCTTCAGGCGGAGGGGACGTAAATCCGTCAACCGACTGACGCCGAGACGAAGGCCTTGAACTGGTCGCACTGCTTGGTCTTCGGCTAGTGGTCTTCGAGCGTGCCATGGCCGATGGAGGTGGCCCACCAAACATGAAGTTCGAAAAAGAAGTACCGCGGGTAGCTTTTGGTCTCTCGGCTTTCTTGGGTTTGGCATCTTTGTCAGACCCAGACGACCTGGAAAGCTTTTCAGCTTCCTTCCTATCCTCCTGTTCCTTCTCCCTTGGAGTCCGAGTGGATTTAGACCGAGTCAGACCGGGTGGCGATTTCTCTTTCTTTGGTGGCGGGGGCATGTCTTCGTCGTCCTTTGTTTTTTCTTTGGTCGATTTCTTGGGTGGAGGTGCCGCACCCCAGAATCCCCAAGAAGCAGTTGCAGATCGTTCAACCCTCGGGCGTTCTTTCTTGGTTGCCTTCTTCTCCTCTGAGGGAGGCGTCAGTAACTTGGGGGGCACGGGTTCTTCGTCCGGCAGGCCAACGTCGTCTGTCTTTGACTCCTTAGGCGTGGTGGCCTTCGACTTGGCACCCTTTTTCTCAACAGCAATGGCCTTTGCTTTGGGCTTTTCAGAGGATGTCGGTGGATCGTCGAGATCGAGAATATCGTCCCCGTAGTCGTCCTCACCAAACGCGCCAGGAAAGCTGCCAGGGATGGAGTCTTTTGATCTTTTCTCCTCTGCCACGGGAGACACGTCCTTCTTGGTTGTCTTGGTCGTCTTGCTTGCAACGGCTGTCTTCGTCTTCAGGGCTGGCGCCTTGTCACCATACTGCTTTTCCTCTTTGGGCAAAGGCGCGTCGTCTGGTGGAGGCAACTCCTTAGTCAGCACAGACTCGCCCTTTGACTTTTTTCTGCTCTCTTCCTTTTTGCCCTCCAGAGCTTTGATCCGGTCGGCGACAGAAGAGCTTACTTTGGTCTTCGTGGCGGTGGGCATGGCCTTTGCGGCCTTTGAAGCAGAGGTAACCTTCTCGAAGTCAAATCTGGAGTCGAGATCCCTCGAGAGGTCGGCTAGCGCGTCATCCTGATCGGTCCACCCCTGCTGGGTAATTTCCTTTTGCGAGTCCAGGTCCTTCTTGCCAGCTGTCTTCTTGGATGTTGACGCGTTACCCCAGAATCCAAAATAGTCCTCCTCCTTCTTGTCTTCAGCCTTTTCCTCTTTGTTGGACGGGGTCTTTTTCAATTTTGACCCCTTGTCAGACTTGGACGCCTGCGTGGGCTCACCAAACATGTCAATGAGCTCGTCTGCATCCTTTGCTTTGCTGGCCTTCGCGTCGGCCTTTGCCGACTTGGTGCCCTTCTTCTTGGAGCTCTTCGCTGCCTCTTGAGCCAATCGTGCTGCTTCTGCCTCTTCTTCAGCCAGTCGTGCTGCTTCGGCCTCTTCGGCCTCGCGAGCTAACCTCTCTTCTTCCTCTCTGGCCTGTTCCTGCCTGGCCTTTTCTTCTGCTTCCTTTTTAGCCTTGGCCTCCTTCTCCTTTTTGGTCAGTTTGGTGGTTGTAGTTGATGTCCCAAAACCCCACATGCTCTTCGTCACGCTGGCTGGAGTCACTTCTGGCAAGGATTCTTCGGGTGGTGCAATGTCAAAGGACTCCTCGACCTCCTTGGTTTTCTTCGTCTTGTCCTTCCCGGTTGAGGTCTTGGAAGTCGTGCTCTTTTTCGTTGACGATGCTTTGCTTTTTACTCTGGTCAAACCCGCCCAGGTGTCTCCAGCAAGGTCATCATCTAACATCTCCACTGGATCAGGTTCCGGAGTTAGACCCTGAGCGGGTGGACTCGGCGCTGGCGGCGGGAGATCGTCTTTAGTCTTCGACTTCTTGCCGCCCTTCTTGTCTTTTGATCCCCAACCGCCCCAGGTGTCATCTTCAGCAGGAGCCTCAGGCTTATCAGACTGTTGATGCTCCTCGATCTCGGCGATAGCTTTCTTTTTAGAGTCTTTGGCACCCTTCTTCTTGTCTTTCGTTGAGGTGGCCCAGGATCCCAAGGTGTCATCTGCCTTTTCTTCCACTGGTTCTGGCTCGATAATGACCTCAGGCTCCGGTCCTGGAATTTCGGCGGCGGTTCCCTTCTTCTTTGAACCCTTCTTCTTGTCTTTTGTTGAAGTGGCCCAGGACCCCCAGGTGTCATCGACCTTATCTTCCTCCGGTTCTGGCTCGAGAATAGGCTCAGGTTCGGGCTCTGGAATCTCGGTGACGGCTCCTTTCTTTTTAGTGGTCTTCTTCTTGTCTTTTGTCGTTGCCCAGGAGCCCCAGGCGCTGTCGGTCTTTTCTTCCACTGGCTCTGGCTCAGCAATGACCTCGGGCTCAGGCTCCGGGACTGCGGCTGCGCCTCCTTTCTTTTTCGCATCCTTCTCCTTTTTCTTCTTTTCCTTTGATGTGAGTCCGAAGAGACTATCTTCTTCTACAACGTCTGCCGCAGGCTCGGGCTCGGGGAGGGGTGCGGGCGGTTCTTCATCGAATTCCAGGAATCCTTTCTTCTTGGTGTCCTTAGACTTCTTCTTTTTGTCACTGGAACTGGCGGTACCCCATTGGCCCCAGGTGTCACTATCCTTGACCTCGGGCTCAGCTTGAGATTCAGGCACCGCTGGCTCATCGAGGACATCGAGATATCCGCTCTTCTTCGCTTCCTTTTCCTTCTTTTTCTTGTCCTTCGCTGACAACGTAAACCCTCCCCATATATCATCTTCTTTGTCTTCTAGCACAGGAGCTGGAGGGGGCGGTGGTGGCTCTTCAACGACGTCCACAACTCCCTTTTTCTTCCCTTTTTTTTTATCCTTGCTAGAAAAGGTCCATGCCGCATCCGGCTCCTCTTTCGGAATCGGCTTTGGTTCGGGAGGTGGTGGAAGGGCTTCCTCCTCAAAATCGAGGAAGCCTTTCTTTTTGTTCTTCTTGTCTTTGGTAGATGTTCCCCAGCCACCAAAACCCCAAGAGTCATCTCCTTTGATGACTTCCGGCTCCAGCTCTGGCTCCGGCTCCGGCTCCGGTTCTGGCGGCGGCGGCGGGGGTTCTGGCGGTTGAGGCTCTTCGGTAGGGATGATCAATCCCTTCCTCTTGGCCTCCTTTTCTCTCTTTTTCCGCTCCTTGGCGGAAAGATTCGCCCAACCAGTAGTATCAGCATACTCTTCTTTAGCTGGTTCCTCCTGAGTCTCGATCTCAACAACAGGATCCGGGATCGATGGCTCAGGGCTCGTGACTTTGCCCTTCTTGCCCTTTTTATCCTTTTTACCAAATGAGGTCCAAATGTCATCCGATTCAGCCGGCGGCTCGACTGGTGGCGGCGCTGGCGGCTCCTCTTCGGCAATCGCACCCTTTTTGCTCTTTTTGTCCTTTTTACCCTTCGCTGTAACGAACTCATCAGCTGCTAGAGCATCGCTCGTTGTCGTCTTAGCGTCGGCAGTATTGCTCAAGTCGACGGAAGCAGATAGATCTTCAATGCCGGTCTTCTTGCCTTTTTTGTCCTTCTTCTTTCCCCATGCTCCAGCCATCCAGTCGTCACCGTCATCGACTGTAAGGTTCGGCTCAGGAGCAGCAGCAGGAACGGCTAGGAGATCGTCGTTGTCATTGAAGTCGGTGAACACACTCTTTTTCGCTTTCTTGTCCTTTTTCCCTGTTCCAAAGCCCCATTCGAAAGAGTTGTCCGTCGCTCCGACGTCAACAGCAGCCTCCTTCGTATCAGCAGGGGGATCTTCGGTTGCCCCCTTTTTCCCCTTCTTCTTGTCCTTTTTCGTCGTTCCGAAAGCAGACCATTCATCTTCCACGGGGACAGGGTCTGGTTCTACCGGAGCAGGTGGCGGAGGGGGAGGGACAGGATCATCCTCAAAGAATCCTGTCTTTTTCTTATTTTTCTTTGACGTTGAGGTTCCCCAAGCACCGAGTAGATCGTCGTCTTTCGATCCGGAATCAATCACAGCGGTCTCACCCAGTCCATTGTCTTTCTTCTTTTTATCCTTCTTGTTGACAGTGGAGAATCCCCAGGCATCATCGGTGGGTTTGGTTTCGCCAACGTCTCCATCGAAACCAAAACCTTTGTCGCCGGAATCCAAATCGCCAAAATCAAAGCCGAACGAGGTGGTTGTCTTCTTTTTCGATTTGCTGCCAAAAGACCAGGGGTTATTGTCTCCAAAACCATTGGATTCTTCCTTTTTGTCGTTTTCCTTCTTAGATGCCTTGTCGTCGGCCTTGGTCGTTCCGGTGTCGAGGGATCCGAAGTCCCATGTCTTACCCCATGCACCGAAGCTTCCAGTATCCTTCTTGCTATCAGTGCCACCAAAACTAAACTCCAGCTTCGGGGCGGTGTCATCAAGACTGATGTCTTGGAAGCCCGTCGCTGGAGGGTCTGGGGCAGAGGGTGGGGGATCGTCAACCCCCTACTCGAGTTAGTATTGGTACGAGGAAGTCGTCGGATGGAAGTACCTTTTTGTTCTTTTTGTTCTTCTTATCCTTCTTCGTCGTAAAACCTGCTGTCCAGTCATCCTCGGCCGCAGCGTTATTCGCATCGTCAGCCCAACTAAGCGGATTGGCAGCCTCTTCTTCCTCTTTCTTCCTTTGCTCCTCCTCTTCCTGCTTTTTCTTCTCTTCCTCCTCTTGCTTCTTCTTGTTCTTCTTCTTGTTCTTCTTGCTGCCACCAAAGTCCCACTCGTCCTCGTCGCCTCCTCCCCCATTGTTGTTGTCATCACCACCGCCGCCGCCGCCGCCGCCGTCGCCGCCAGCACTTCCGCCTTGATCACCGCCTCCATCACCTCCACCAGCACCATCTCCACCATCGCCAGCAGCGTTCCCATTTCCTTCATTATCTGATTCAAGCCATTTAGCCTGTGGGGGAGCTTTCCCGGCTTTCTTCTTCTTGGCCCTCGTCTGGAAGCCGTATGAGCCACCAAAGTCTATGCTGGTATCCATCGTCGCAAACCGGGGCTTGGACTCCCTCTCAAGAGGTACGGGTCGAGGATGTTCCGACGTGGCAAATGGTCGAGCGTATGCTGCTGATTCTGAAAAGTCTCGCGATTGTACCAAGTCTTGGCCGGTAGGCAACGAGGAGCAGCTTCCATAAGGCTGAGGACGATCTGCGAGTTCCTGCAATAAGGCTGCGACCAGCGCAGCTGCTCTTAGGTATACATCGTAGTTCAGGACGGAATGCTGTTGTCCGTGTCAGACGAGATCCCAGTGAGAAGGGGGGAAGGAGGAGTAGGAGGAGTAGGAGGAGAAGCGGAATCGCAAGCTTGAAAGAAGAAGTAGTAGTAGCAGGAGCAGGGGCAGGGCACTCGACGGATGCGCGTTAGGATGGAATAGTGTCTTGCATACCCGTTGCACTGGCTTGTAGTTCTTGAGCATGGCGGTGTGCATGTAATGGCGCCAATCGGCAATCCGAGGTGTTGGAGAAATACACCCAACCTCCCCCATCTCGTAAAAGCATAAGGACTCGGGATCAGCCTTTGCCATCTTCCACCATCTCGGGGTCCTTGGTCGAGAAAACGCGCTTTCTCTGCCGGCGGGCGACGCGGCGACCAGAGCCGCCATACTGTAGCTGTTGCTGTAGCTGGGCAAGACGTTCGGACAGATTAAAGTGGGAGAGCATTTGATGCGGCGGCGACGACGCGAAACAAATAGATGAAGGGAGCAGCAAGAGAGTGAGGCTACGTCTACAGAGCCTCTGGTATTGAACGACAGAAGAACTGAGAGAACTGAGACTGAGGGTGCTGGTTTGTGGTGGGAAGTGCAGCGTCAGGAGGTCACAAGGTGTTGGAGTTGCTCATTGGTGTGCAAGGCCAAACCCAGGTGCCAATGGACCAACAACGAAGACGAGCAAGACGAGTGGGTGCAAAATGACCCCCCCCCCCCTTGCAGTCACGCTGCGGCTGCGCCGATCCCAGCAACACACCAACACCAAAACTCAGCGACTCGCCTGGCCAGGGTCCAGAAACAGTCAAGGAGGGCTAGTGGGCAAGCCAAAAACCACGCCCCAGGCCTATCTGCTAGTTATCACCCTCCCTATCGATACACAAACGGGCAAAGCAGGAGAAAAAGGAGAAAGAGAAATGAGGTCACTCATATATCCCGCAGCAAAGCGACCCTAAAGCCCACTCCCGTTCGAAATTTTCATCAATGCCCAAACGACTCCATTCAATGCATCAACTGCATCTGGCAAGAATCTGGCGGTGTTGACATGCAGGGCGAACGACGAATGACGCGCCTGGCAAGTCTGGCTGGCTATGCAGGCAAGCAATCGATGTGGCAACGAATCGCTCACCGCTACAATTGCAAAGCGACCACCAGACAAATAAGAGGGGAGCAGATGGCAAGCTTGCTGGTGATGGGTTGGAATGGACGAGACCAGCAAAATTAGCAGCATTCCAGCAAGACCGGACGTGGATGGCCGGTGGATGGCCTGTGGACCAAACGCCCGTCACCACCAAGCAGCGACGATGGTGTGGGAGATTCCCTGATAACTGGGATGCGTGCTCGACTGCTGCAATTGGCCCTCGTCCAGGTGAGAAAGCAATCGACCCACACACTTCGTGCCGTTGAACTGTCCCCCCGATGTGATCCGAGCTGCAAACGCCCACGCCCCGAAAAGGGGGGCCGAGTTGAGCTCGTACAGTTGCTGGACACGGGATCCCCTTTATACGTCTGGGAACCGTCTCATTCATCCTATGGTGGCTTGATTGATGGCTGCAGAGCCGCAACTGGTGTAGCAAGGGAGCCCGAAATCTGAGCAGGCCACTTGCTGGTCGATGATTGAATGGGACTCGGCAGACGCGATGCAGGGAAAGCTGCAAAGCCAACGCAGTTCTTCGGCAGCACTGGAACGCCCCGTTTTGCCCGTTCTCGCCGCTGCAGCCACTCGGCGATATTTCACAGGCGGAAAGACAGCAGACACCATCCCACTCTAGGTGGGTACGATCACCCACTGCGTTGTGAGGGAAACTGTTGTCGCGGCGCACCTCAAAACGCGTTGGCGCTGCAGAACCAAAGACCGACGAGAAGGCCAAACAGATTGCGCAATTGGCGGACTCGTCGACCAACTATTTTGATCTCTCTCGGATCGACCGAGCCAAGATTGACACTCAAATTATTTCTATGAGAAAGGACGGGTATCTTTGCGGCCTGTCGCATTTGCACGTTGGGGGTTTCTTCTTATCACCTATTAGTTGTTGGGGATGGCAGTCCTGTCCTCGTCCTAATAATCAACTGGTGACCCCTCCTCTGGACTTATTCATCTTCATCAGAACTGTAGGCGCCCAGACCAAGTCCAACAGCTGCTTGGGGCCGTGCAGCTGTGATCGGAGGTGTAATCTGGTCATTGATGTCCGGGTTAACTGGCGAAGCACGCTTCGTAGGTGCGTTGTGGTCATCATCAGCTGCCGTCGCTGCAGAAGCGGCCGTATTGGCAGCGGTTGACAGCTTTCTCGACTTGGGATCAGCGTCAGACTCGCCGTCCTTTTCTCGCCGTCTTTTTTTCTTTTTGATAGCCCACAAGCCGTTGTCCACAGAATCGCCAGATTTCCCAATCTCGGTGCCCTCGACTAGGGCTTGTTCGGCAGCGGCGCGTTGTCTGCGGAAGACTTCGAGTTGTTCGGCCGTCTCTTGTTTGATGGCGTTCTCCTTTGCTCGACTTGCTTCAAGCACAGAGTCGAGAAACTCCACTTCATCATCGTCAAGGGCCCGAAATTGGTTCTTGAGCCGGATGGACTCTTCAAAGGCCTCCTGTTTGGCAGCTGGGTTCGGTGAAGTAGAACCGTGTCAGCAACGCGTTATTCGACTGCTGTCAAGAGTGCCATGGCATATGATCGCTTACCCTTGTTTGCCTGTAGCACCTCATACAGACTCTTGCCCCCGTCTTGTGTCCCTTCGTCCAGCTTCTTGGCCTTTCTCGTAGACTCGACCAGTTGCTGCGCCTTGACCCAGGCATCGTCAGGGGCAGGGGCAGCGGCGTCGGCATCGGTGCCAGCTGATACGAATCGGGACATGATCACGGATATATATCACGAGGAGCGTGGTAAGCCGCCGGTGCTGATCAGGATAAATTCCTTTCATCGGGTTAATTTGTCGAGGCCAAGGGCGCGTTGGTGGCGAGGGTTGCGGCCAAGTGAGATTATGCGGGCACAACTACGTCGTGTACCAAGGTCAAAGGGACAATGCAGCGGCCCAAGGGTTTTCGGCAGCGGTTATTTACGAGGAACTTGGTTTCATTCCGCAAAAATCCCAAGTTGTGGAGGAAGCTTCGAAGCCACCTGAGCCACCCCACGAGTTTCCCACGAGTTTCGTTGAGCACAGCGTTCGTTCACACTCACTAACATCGCCATGGCTATCGCTGGACTCGCCTGCGTGCGGCCCGGACATGGCCCTCGATCTGATCCCTGGTTCTTCTGCTTCTCATTTGCTCTCCCGCTGCGGTACCTGCCGTGGCTATCAAAATGCATGCTCCAACAGTGCCCTTGCTTCTTCTTTCCGAGCCTCAACCATAACTGTGGGGAACGCTCTTCCGCGCCTGGAAGATACGCCACGAGACGTAGACGCATGTGGACATGAATCATCCTCTCGATATTTATCCCTTCCCTTGACCCAGTCGATCATTTCAGCCTAAATCACGGCAACCAAGGTGATCTAGAATATTCCCAATCCCTCCCCATTACCCGCCAATGACGCTCGGGTGAATAGCTGGGACGATGGGAATGAGCGCGCTTGATTGATGCGTGCCCCTCGCCCCTCGTGGACCTGGGAATTGCGTAGGTCTTGTTGCATTGCGAAAGCCAGTACCCCACCTCCAAATCTTTTACTGAGGTGAAGTGCGTGAGAACAAGACCCGATGCAATCATGCCCACCGGAATATAACTGCAACTATATATCATCCAACTGATCCGCAGACGAAATTTTTGTCTTTCTACCTCCGCGTCGCATGTCCTTTCTTCGCCTCTCTGGTTCTCCCTTTAAAGGATCCCGGGTTTCTTCTCTTGTCGCAAGGTTCGAATCTGCGTCAAACCACTTTGCAAAACCTCCATTGTTGAATCCTCGATTACTCCGCACCATGACGACTACACAATCAGGGAAGGGCACAAAGTGAGAACCTTCCCCGTCAAACTCCTTTGCTTACCGTGGGAGAATGGTGGCTGCTAACACTCACCTCTAAGGACCGTGTTCACTTTGAACACTGGTGCTAAGATGCCCGGTGTTGGCCTGGGTACCTGGCAATCCAAACCTAATGAAGTCCGCGAAGCAGTCAAGCACGCGCTGCAAGTTGGTTACCGCCATATCGATACGTAAGGATCCCTGTCCGCTTTGATTGCGGATTGTCTAATATCCTGACGCTTTTCAGCGCTCTCGCGTACGGAAATGAAGCCGAGGTTGGCCAGGGAATCATTGACTCTGGCGTTCCTCGCGAAGAGATCTGGATCACCACCAAGCTCGACAATCCCTGGCACAAGCGCGTCAATGAGGGTATCGAATCCTCCTTGAAAGACCTGAAGACGGACTATGTCGACCTCTACCTCATGCATTGGCCCAGCTCCACAGTCCCTGAGGACTTGAAGAAGCATTATGATGACTGGAACTTTATCGATACCTGGTAAGTATTGGGTCGTTTTCTGCCTGCTGTCTTCTGTTTTTAATTTTGACGAACAGGCGCGAGATGCAGAAGCTCGTCGGAACCGGCAAAGTTCGAAATATCGGCGTGTCCAATTTTGTCATCTCCAACCTCGAGAAGTTGCTGAATGCGCCCTCGACAAAAATTGTGCCTGCCGTGAATCAGATTGAACTTCACCCCAACATGCCTTCGCCGAAGACTTTGGCCTACTGCAAAGAGAAGGGAATCCATTGCACAGCATACTCCTGCTTGGGATCGACGGACTCACCCCTGGCCCATGACGAGACCCTCCAAAAAATCGCAGACGCACACGGCAAGACTCCCCAGCAGGTGCTGTTGATGTGGGGACTTCAGGTACGTGATTTCTAGGGACCACCTGTCCCAGACGGTCTCTCGCAATTGTTCCGAAATCTGCTGTTTTCTGAACTGACATCATACTCCCTAAACAGAGAGGTACCAGCGTGATCCCCAAATCTGTGACGCCGTCGCGTATTGAGGCCAACTTCCAACTCGACGGCTGGGAATTGACCCAAGAGGAGACGGACGCGCTGAGCAACATCAAGACCCGCTTCAAGGTATGCGGTGATTCCTGGTTGCCAATCAAGGTCTTCTTCAATGAGGAGGGTGACGGCGGTGATGTACCTTCTCATTAGGTGTGTCATTGCTGGATACTCTCGGACACGAAATGATGGACCTAGTCACAAATTCCTGCGGAAGCTACCTCCTGCGCAGTGTTGGGAAAGCACAAGCAGTGGGGATTCGCGCAGCGAGCTAGGGTCGGATAAATGTCGATCAATATATCAAGGAGCATAGAATCAGATATAGAGAAGGAGAGAATCTCGTCCTTCGATCGGCGGGTGGCAACCTACACAGCTAGGCTCACAATACACTGTCGAGATGATTTTTGGGGGGGATGCCCCAAACAAGCCTGCTTTTCGGGACCATAATATTTACCAAAACCTAATGATGATTGACGTGACCGCGGCTTCCGAGTAGGCCAGCGAGGCGGGAATTCTAGGGATTGGCTGTATTGTGCGTATGTTGTTGAATGCGACTCGCTTCCTACATAGTACGGACGTAAGTAACTCGTCGCCCTGGCCTCTTGGGCCTTCTACTGGCCCCCTACTTGTAGGTAGTCAGACTCTGTATGCGACGCGGGGAACAAGCGACTAAGCCGGATTGGCCGCTTGGGAAATGATACATGCTTAGATAATCAGCCCGGAAGTCTTCCCCTTTGCTTCCATGGCCCGTATTTCTTGTCGTATTTCGTTAAACCTTGAATCCCGGGCCTCGTGGGCCTTGTGGGTGCCTTGAGGAATGGTTCTGCCTGGAGCGTTTCGCCCTACCAAGCCCTAGCCATTGGGAAAGAAGCCATCCAAGTCGCTCTGACATATCGCTTCCTGACAAATTGGATTTTGGCAGCTTTCAGTCCGCTGATTGTTTCGCATGCTGTCGGCAGTCAGACGCCTGAGTTTCATTCCGCCGTTCTTGCCACTGTCGTCTGTTGCTCTCTTTCAGACAGTTCTACCTCTTTCGGCCTCCTGTTCCCACTCTCTACGCCCGAACGAACTGTGGCGGGCTACAATCCACCCTTCGTATGTTCCTTCCTCGCACGTTTATGGACGGATAGACCCTCACTCGCGGGGTAAATACACCTTGGAAGCCCACGAAACGAGCCCTCCGCGCATCTCTTCGTCTGGACTCAGAGCGCAAGCTAGTTTCAATAGTAAAGAATGGCGACTGGCAACATCGATGACCCGGACATGGGCGGTGGAAATGGAGAGAGTGAACAATCGACAGGAGCGGCGAATGATACTATTCCCCGACCAAAGAGAATTGCATGCATATTATGTCGCAAAAGGAAATTGAAATGTGATTCAAACAAACCGAGCTGCGGGACATGTTCGCGACTCAATCACCATTGTGAATACTCCGAGGAACGGAAGAAGAGCGGCCCCAAGAGAGGGTATGTCAAACTCTTAGAGGCCAGACTGAAGCAAGTCGAAAACTTGCTAGAGACAAGAGATGCCACAACTGAGCTTGCTACCCGTGCACCTCAGCCCACAACAACAGCGGATTCATTGAGCTCTATGCCGCCCCTGGACATGAATAATGCTCTCGATACTTCGATGAGCGGGATGATGCCAGACAACAGCTTCACCGATCCAACTCTGGTCGGGATGCCAGATTTCAGCATGAACGCCAATGACGATTTCTCCTGGGAGGTGATAGGTCTCGGTCTCGAGGAAGCATTACCAGCAAGAGAGGTAATAGATGAGATGTATGGCTAATCACGATTTCGGTTCTCATGTTTCTCCGCTGCTGACTACCTCAGGAATGAGATCTATTTCGAAAAAATCCATCCTTCCTTGCCCATGATCCACAAGGGGCGTTTTCTCGCTTCAATGGACCTCGCGCCTCATATGCGCCCAGCCGTGTGCCTGAGATATGCCATGTGGACCCACGCTTGTGCCATTACCTCAAAGTTTTCAGCCTACACCGAACACTTCTATGCGAGGGCTCGGAAATATGCAGAGATGGACGAAATGAGAGGGCACGGCGAGGGAATGATCACGATCGCCCACTCACAATGCTGGACTTTGCTTGCGTGTTACGAATTTAGAGTAATGTATTTCCCGAGAGCGTGGATGAGCATCGGAAGAGCTGCAAGGCTGGCGCAAATGATGGGTTTACATCGGCAGGATCGTGTTGGTCTCGACGTGAAACAGACACTTCCGCCTCCTCGAGACTGGACAGATCGTGAAGAACGGCGGCGGACCTTCTGGATGGCATACTGTCAGGACAGATATGCCAGCATCGGGACTGGGTGGCCGATGGTCATTGATGAGAGAGACGTACGTATACCGAGCAAGGCGATGACAGCAAACTGATAAATCGTCCACAGATTCTCACAAATCTACCGGCTAGCGAGGAAGCGTTCAATAAATGCCAACCAGAACCTACACTGCAGTTATCCGACATCTTGAACGGTGATGGCGCGTCGTCTCTCTCTTCATTTGGCGGTGTGATTCTCTTATCGACAATATTTGGGCGAAACCTCACCCATCTCCACCGACCATCGGAACAAGACAATGATCATGACCTCAATGGCGCATTCTGGAAACGTCATCGATCTTTAGATAATATCCTTCTTAACACGTCTTTGTCCCTACCCCCGCCTCTCCGCCTCCCGGCAGGTCTCAATGATCCGAACACCGTCTTTCTCAACATGAACATTCATACAGCTACGATATGTCTGCACCAAGCAGCCATATTCAAAGCCGACAAAAATCGACTGCCAGCCCAGATTAGTGCAGAGTCCAAACGTCGATGTATCGTCGCAGCGGACCAAATCACCAACATCATGAAAATGATCAGCCATATGGACATGTCGATGGTACGTCTAAGATCTCAACGCGTGTGGTTAGCCGCTAAATCTTTCCAGATGAATCCTTTCCTTGCCTTCTGTCTTTATGTGGCTTCGCGTGTGTTCGTACAATATCTCAAATCTAGACGTGAGGATACAGCGGTCAAATCCTCCCTGCACTTCCTACTTGCCGCGATGCAAGTCCTGAAAACCAAGAATCCGCTCACCGAGTCGTTCTTGGTCCAGCTCGATGTTGACCTCGAAGGCAGCGGCTTGGATATTCCGACAAGCTATTCACGATGGAGATTCGGTCACCGCCCGCCAGTCAGTCTGCCCATTGTTTCTTAGTAACACGAGCGGGAAAAGAGCTGACTTGAATATAGGGTGAAAGTCCCGCTAACACAGACGCCCTGAAATGCTCTCCTCTCTTTGAAATACGAGAGACTCAAGGTCGGGAACCAGTTGGGTCAGTCCAAGGGACCAATAGCAAGGAGGTACATCCCCCTTGGCCCATGGATGCCACCGCCCAGACTGTGGATAGGGGCTATCCAAGCTTATATGCTTCGGAGGGATCGAATACCAGCGCACAAATGGGCCAGACGGCCCGATTAGCAAGCGATGGATTCGAGAATGGTTATGGCTTTCCCATCCAGTCAGTTGGAACAGACACTTCACCAGACACTTCGAACCAAGATGGAGCCGGCTCACGGCCACATTCCAACCACCCAACGCCTTCGACCCAATCAAATCAAAACTCATCGCATACGTCTTACACTTCCCCTCCGAATCAATCCAGCAGCGGCAACACTGCGAGTAGTGGGCAGGGGCAGCCGTCACCGGGGTATGCGTTCCCGGGTGGCGCTCAGTCTTCCTGGAACATGAATATATCAACTCAAATGGGACAGGATATGTCACCTGCACAATCAAATATGAACTTTGGTGCTACCGGGATGACACCTGGTCCGACAGGGCTGACCCCTATCCCTGACTCTCTGTGGCCGACAGAAGGAATGCCTGATGGAAATGAATGGATGTTTGCCTGGGCTGGTTCGACCCCCCAACCTTAATGACCTTGACTGCGCGAGCGCCGGACGGATGCCTGTCCATACTCTGAGATCTACGATTCATGGCAGCGAAAAGTTTGGAGCGATAAAATGTGATACCCAGGAGTCGGCAGCGACATCCCAACTCTGATCTAGTCGGTATAGTTGACTAGGTATATAAATCTTGAAGCTTCTAGGTGCATAAAGCCTGTCGGGGTTGGATCTGTGAAAGGATAAGAACTAGGTGGCCCCTTTACTCGTCGACTGTACGGCTGACCTTGTTGGGGGCCCTCGCCGCCTGTCTGGGCTGCTTGTCGGGCATTAAATGGACATTATCGGACTCGTGGATGCCGAAGCGGCTTCTCTGGCATCAGGGTGCGATGCCGTAGATGCTGGCTTCGAAGTCGTGACAGCGTGGGTGAGGGACACCCAGCACAGTCGGGTCTCCTCGTGACTTCCAGCCAGTTTTCCCAAGGCACGTGGGAAATAAAGCGTCTCCACCCAAGTCTTGACAACTGCGCCCACAAGGCTCTTACTGTACCATCTGTGAGTGCCTGTTCGACGCTTCATTGTGCAATCAACCTAAACTTATAGATACACTGCCCCCTGGTGGTATGGCGCCCCTGAACCAACGCAAGCATCTCGGGCGCGACAAGTTTGGAGCCCAGTTCAGCTTGCTCAAGACGCAGCAGTACATCGACCCTGCCACTCGCACATCCATTCCGACCATGTATGTACCCGCCGTCTGCATGAAAAGTGCATTCGACCCAGCCCTGCCATGATAAAGCGAAGGTCGTTCTACAACATATCGGCTGATGAACCATTCCCTTTTGTTCAAGCCATCGCACCATCTCATGGAACGCCTCTGGCGGACTGATTGCAACCGGGGCCAACGACAAGACCGTTCGAGTATGGAACCCCGAACGCACAAGCCCTCGGAGCCAGATCGAGCTGAGAGGCCATGGGCATGCCGTTGAAAAGGTCCTGTTCAACCCTGTCCGAGAATTCGAGCTGGCCAGCTGTTCCTCAGACGGCACGGTACGGTTCTGGGACACACGGACGAAAACCTGCGTGAACAAACTTGAGGTTGGCGGTGAACCTTTTACCTTGAGCTGGAGTGCTGATGGAAGTGTGTTACTGGCGGGGACGAAGGTGCGTGGGACCCAGGAGGATTGTGTACCGTTCCAAAGCTGAAAAGATCCTGCTTCACAGGGCGATGTCCTCATTCCCATTTCAACAGCGATCCCCTCCTCACCGCAAATCCTATCGCGCCACAAGCAAAACCAACAAACGAACCAAACAACCTTCTCAAATGCATACCCACCCTCTGATCTGCTAATAACCCAGGGTGATGGCTCCGTCAAGATACTCGATTACCCTTCCTTTACGGTACTACACACCATCTCCGCGCACACATCCTCCTGCACTGCCATTTCTTACTGCCCGAATGGGAAATACGTTGCCGTCGGTGGCTCGGATGCCATGATATCCCTGTGGGACACGACCGACTGGGTCTGTCGACGGACCGTGTCTAACGCCAGTTCCGGCGCCATCAAGGGCCTGAGTTGGTCATGGGATGGTCGATACCTTGTTGGTGCGAGTGAAGAGATGGGGTCTGGCGGTGGCGAGGGCTTGAGTTCAGGTTTTGACATATATCATGCCGAAACGGGCGATGTTGTGCACACGATCTCTACGGGCACGAGTGGAATTCCTGCGGTCGAGTGGCACCCAAATCGCTATTGGTTGGCATACACCCAGATCGAGGAGACGAGGCAAGGGAAGTCGAGTCTGAAAATAGTTGGAGCAGCTGGAGGGCCGTCGATTTGACACAACACCTTCGACAGCGCTAGAAGCGTTGTCGCTGGGATCCAAACTATCAGACGAAGCCTCATGCAATTGGGGTTTACGCCTTTTTCGCTCTGCAGATGCGTGCCTGACCGAAATCAAGAAGATTTCTGTGCTTGGGCGATCAACACCCAGGCATGCAGCCTGAGGGAACTCCCATTCCGATCTCGAGTGATTTCTATATGTTCGACTTGGACACGCAAAAAGATTCAGCAGCCTTCTGCTATCAGTTGTGAGGCACATGGCGAACTGCAACTCCTACGGCAAACTGACCAGCTCTGCCGCCGAGCTTCGCAGAATCCTTTCGGTGTTGCCGACAGTGCTGTCCCTGAAAGTTATAATTACAAATGTCCAGGACATTTGAGTAGGCTATTCTTTCAAGTGTCTGGGTCGAAAGAGTGTTTGGCTTTTGTGGGAGATCTCGGGAATTGCAGTCAATGCCGCTCTCGTTTCAGCGATTTTGCTTGCTCTTCGTCCTGATCTGATCAATTTGGCTACCAAAAGCTTTTTTTTTCGCTCAAACTTGGGCACAGAACGAATCTCGCAGAAAGGGAGGCAACAAGGCCCCGTTCAGGAGAAGCTGCTCTGCTGGAACTGTTCTCGACTTCTGACAACGTGGATGCACCTTTACAAGGGTAACCATCGAATACAAAACTGTTTACACTCGATTTCCTCTCAAACAACCTTCCGTCAAGTTCAGGTAGTCAGACAATTATTCAGTCACGACTTGCATCTCAATAGCACCTTCTTGAGATGTTGACCTTGTATGAGGCGAATTACGACAATGGTTCCAATCCGGACTTAGCGATCAAAGGCTTTGACTATCCCGAAGTCACTGTAAAAGGAGCTAGGTCTTGCTCAAGATGATTAAATCACGACTGCTTACGAGGAGGCCGTGTCTGCTTTGGCAAAATTCTGTCGTTACAGCGTCTCTCCTGGAACACAATATAAGCTTGTCTGAATATTGGTCCTTCTCAGGGAAATGCTGGTAGCATATCCCAGGGTCTGAGTTTATCACCATCTTTTTTCCCCTGTATTACCTTTCCGGGCACGTTTCAACACGAGATGCTGTTGGTCACCCCTCCCGCCATTCGTCCTGGCCTGACCTACCGGTCCAGATTTCCGTCGAGCCTCACGCCAGGAAACAGTAAGAGCGTTGTAGCACCAGCTAAATGTCAAACCAGTATCTGATCTCCACTCGACAGGGTGGAGAAGAAAGCTATTCACAATGCTACCCTTCGCTGACAACGATGATGGTGGTGGCGATGACCTCCATGGTCCGAGTTATGCCGTTATTCTCCCGACTCACCACCCAGAGGGCGGATCTCACGAAGCTGTGTCACGCAAGATCCGACCAAGGGCAGCGGCGCGGTGTTTAGCAAACGCTATCTCGAGATCCTGCCCATCTTCATACGATAATATCTTTCGACCCGTCCGCATTCGACCTCATATCTGCGACCACGACCACCCGGGTCCTCGTGGACTGCACGACGGGCAAAGACGAAAAGGCACGCTCGCGCCCGCCGGACCTCATCGTAGCAGGCTAGTGATGCTTCCGTCCCCAACAAGATTCATCGGGCTCGAGTCCCGTTGTCGCGGGCCAGGTCCAGGCTCCAAAAGGACTTCTCGACCGCCCCAGCCGCAGTCAGGGAGTAGAGAAGGCTGAATTGGGCGCACCCCCCTCCCCCCTCCTCCTCCCCTTCGAGATGTCTAGGACGGGGGAACTCGCCAACCAACGTCATGCCCAGCCAAAGTATGTATATGAACCGGTTGTTACGAAATGGGAGGGATGCGTACGGCGCTTGTGGTCATAATGCGAGTGCCGGTGGAGGTTGGGTTTGGGTTGAGGGATAATAATGTCTTGCATGACCACGACCTGGGAATTTCTTCGGTGGACAGTGAGACAATATGCGGAAATTTGAAATGATCAGTTGATTTCTGACATGTAAAGGGGGTTCACTACAAACATGGTCTGGACGGCACATCCCGAGGAACAGAGGGGCGATGGCTTCGTACCCAGTGCTTTTCCAACCTAATGATAGAGCAGTCTGTTTTTAAATAGGAGCTGCACCTAAGGACAGGAAAAATAGTGGTCCTCGACTTTCGTTCTGCCTGACAGTCGCCAACCCTGGTAGATATGATCTTTCAGCCTCGCCAGGCCTAATTCCTCACTGCAAACCCTACCATATCCACAGTCATGGCCGCACCAGCCTGAGATTTGCCTTTGTCTTAGCTTCTCCATGCATAACGTCATCAAAATATTAGCCATTGCATAGCTCAAGTCCATCCCGCTATATTGGTCCCATAGTAATTCGGAGTCTGCGGCCCCTCGCTTTGGATCAGATATCCCAACTCACACTTCTCAAACTCCACTTTCGGTTGTTCCGTATAAAAGGCATCATACTGGCCATTCAGCGCATCCACCAGGTTATGCACGTCGTCGTCAGGATGAAGGACCCTCCACGGCTGAGTGCATTGGTTGGCCTTGCAGGATTTCAATACCATGAGAAGGGCATCGAGACGGGGTTGGACTTGAGAAAGGGGTCGATTTAAGGGACTGGCAAAGGGAGTAGCATTGACTGAGGCACTGGGGCCAAGCAGGTTATTCATTTGCGAGGGATCGCGCTGGATGACTGTCAGTGGACATAAGCCCTAGACGAAAGGGAAAGCGGCGAAAGATGTACCGTCATGTCATACAGCTCGTGTTCATTTGTGCACCAGGCTGTATATTGCAGATTGTATTTGCTGGTGACTATGCGCATTGATTTGTAGGTGTTGTTGAGGAATTGAGCTGAAATTCAACATTAGTAGATGCGCTCGTGAGAATTTCCTGCCTCGGAATGTCCTTACTGAAACTTCCGTTGATACCCTGCAGTCCATAAGCTCCTTCAAAGCCACCTGTTCCCCAGTATTCAACCATAGTATGATCAAGGGCAGGAGCGTTACGACGCTGTTCCTGGGCATCGTCGGTCACAGGCATGGGTGACCCATCGAAATCACTCCGGAGTGGAATTCCGGCCAACTGAAACAGAGTGGGAGCAATGTCCGTATGGGTTGTCACAAAATCAACAGTCTTCCCTCTGGGCACACCTGGCCCCCGGATGTAAAATGGAATGTTGATATCCTCCTCGTAGGCGCAGTACTTTCCTGGCTGCATGCGGTGATTGCCCATGTGATAG